CTCGAGATTGGTAAGAACATCACCACCTTCATCCTGCGGTGTCAGATTCAACACCTTTCCAAACACAGTACTGGCGCCATCGAGGTGTGGCGCCGGCACGAACGAGATGAAGAATTGACTCCCGTTGATCGTTGCGCCCGTTGCGCCCTGAGAGCCAGGCACCGTCCTGTCCTTCACTGGGCGAGATGCCATAGACAGAATGCCGCGCGCGTTGTGTCGCAGCGAAGGGAGGTGGATCTCCTGGTTCATCGCTGCCGGGTGATAGATCGATGTGCCACCTTTGGGGATCTCGAAATCAAGCATTGGTTTCGTGCTTGTTTGGTGCGCAGCCGGGCCGAGAGAGATGTCTCCGCCCTGTACCATGAATCCTGGAATAAGACGATGGAATGGGGTATCATTGTATGCGCCGCACGCGCAGAGGGCGAGGAAGTTCTCCGTAGTTTGAGGTACTGCTTCGCAAAAAAGCTCGACTTTAAGGTCGCCTTGGGTGGTATGTAACTGTGGGAATCTTGATTAGCATCATGCCATACAGAGAAGAGCTGCAGAGAGATCTTATAGCTTTATTTATGAGTAGACTTACTGTAACAGACATATTGAGGGTATTCTGTGAGGTGATACAACAGTGCAAGAGGACCAGATGCGGCGTTCAGGTTCCCCGTGCCCGGACACCTGATGATATAGAGCTTAGTCATCAATTTCTTATCGATGCGCCAGGCGATTGCAGATGTTTGGTTGTGAGACCGATCCCTTCAATTCAGATGCAGTTGGCTCAATTTGAAATCTAAATACGCTACAAGGTTTTTAGGGACTATCTTTCTCCTTTGTCTTCTCAACAACTATTGTGCTGCTTTAGCACAGCCAGATCCTACCTGGTTCCTTCCTCAGGCAAGACTGACTTGATCCACAACATTAAGAACAATGAACAATCGGCCGGTGGAACAGGCATTGAGCACATTGGTGCCGACTCATGCCAATGACCTCCCACAAGAACTCCTCAGTTATGCATTGTCGCTAGTGGCACAATCCCGGAGCTTCTCGAGCAGTCTAAAGCCGGAAGAGGAAATTGCTCGACCGTATGCCTGCGCGGAAATCGCTTGCAAAAGGTGTGCCGCAGGTCCCGAATGAGCTGCCTCTATGACCCATTTTATTCTTATATGCTAATTACTTGTGTCTGGTTTTCACAGATTAACGCGAACTCTCAAACTTCCTCCGCTGCTCGGACATCCGCCATGTCCTCCGCGCATATACAAAAAGCTTTATTCGTACCTCGACCGATCTCTGGCAGCAAGATCGGCTGGGCTGAAACGCTCAGCAAGTGGGTCGGTTCCTGGAACACCCTCACGCGCCGGTTCAGCGCAGACCACACCGACGAAAGGCGCGACAGCCAGGAACACTCCTTCGAAGGCAGTAGCACCAACACCAAGAGGACTACAAAATACACCTTCGAAGTCTACACCCTTGAAACGAAGTATGAGCACGACGAATCGGCTCGATAGTCCCTCAAAATCGGCAAGAAAGGCTACAGGCCCGCGAACGAAGGATATCACTGGGTCGACTATCATTCCAGATGCCCCGGCTTGGGTAATGACGGCCATTCGAACTGTATGCAAGATTCTCTCGACGCCTGCCCCGCGCACAAATACTTGGTCCAGGCCTCCAATCTCAAGGACCCTGCCTCCGCATATCTTTTCCGGCGTGTCGTCCGTCCTCTATCTTACATCGAGCATGTCCAATGACGAACCGGGATGGGACCGGGAGAGCTTGGATTTCCTGGAGCCTATTGTGTCTATCAATGGCTCTGATACGGATGATGATTTCAAGGAGCTGGTCTACGCTATGGCCGTGGCTGTATACTTCCTTGTACTCGCCCGTCGGCGTAACCCTGGGCCAGATGCAGAGGCAGATATCGAAGCGCAAAAGATGGACAAGAAGACTTTTATCGAAATGCGTCAGACGGCATTGAACAGCCTTGGGTTGAAGGCTAATGATCGGAGACATCGCGATGATGTTGACCAATGGATCACTCTTATCATGGAGCAAGGTTGGGCCAACGGCCAGGAATGGTTCGAGAATATTCCCTTTGCTGGACAGCTCTATGGCGAAGACGAGGAAGGCAGGTCTTATCAAGACCTGGATGAAGAAGATGCAACACTTAGGGGTGTTAGGCCGCCCAAGCGTTCAACAGCCGGGAGTGGGACTCGTGTCTCGGAGTCAGATCCTGCCCTGCGAGGCGGCCTTTTGCCTGGCCTGGGAACAATGATGCAAGATCGAGTTGACTGGCTGAGTGACGATCGTCAAGAAGACTTTGTGAATTGGAAAGCGGATATTATGGCTCGCATTGAAGGCGCAGCTGCTTGATCGCCGTCGTACGATGAGAGATTACTCGAAAGGGGACGCAGCCTGCTAGTTTAATTGATACCCTCAGATATGAATCAACATGTAATTTCTATATTTATTCTTGATAAGCGAAAAATCAGTTTCACCATGTCTATGTTCTGATTGTATCTTCCTTTGCTCCAGATCAACCCAATGTCCCAGGTCACCATTGTGGCAGACCAACTCCATGCGCCATCAATGACGCCAAAACAAATAACCATTCATATCAATACCAAATGCTCCTCGTGCGGTGATGAGGAATGGACTCATTTTTCTCTGCCTCCAGGTTCTTCATCGTGTCGTACAAGAAAAAGTCGATGAGGATGGCATTGATGCCATATGTCTTTCGCGGTTTCTCTACAATCTTCATACTCTGATCCAACTCATCCGAACTTTCGGTTTCGCGGTTCTCATTTTTGCCCCCAATTTCCTTGGAAGGAGGCTTGAGCCGGTTCATTCTCACCTCAGGGTGTTGCTTTTCGATCTCTCGCTTGATCAACTCAACACACCAGATACTCGTTCCACGAAGCTCGATTTCCCAGTTTGAGCCCGGCTCGATGAGTTTCAGGTCGCGGATGTGGTTTTCCAATTTGGGTGCGTAGCGAAGACAGTTCAGCTGGTGTAGCATCTGCGGAATCCGGTAGTCTGGGGTATATCTTTAGTATGGGCTTGAGTAAGTAGGGAGAATTACAAGAGTCGTACCTGCAAACATGGTGATCTTGTCAATATCGTGGAATTCACCAAAGTCTTCGCCATTGAAACAAGCCCATAGATCGGCGACTAGGATCTGAGCACGTTTGTAGAGTCGCACTCTCTTTCCGTGGAAGATTGTCTCGTCGCGGAAGCAGGCAAAGCTCTCTGTCAATATATTGACTAGTCCTGCAGCGGAGAGGTTGGCACTGTCAATGCAGTTGACGAAACTGCCCCCGAATTCCTATATCCGGTTAGTCTAACTCACATGGCCAAGGTGGTAAGGAATAATACCTCGCAAAGGACTTCGCCTGCTTCACGTAGACACTGCACTCGTTCGTTGAACATCGGAATCTCTCCATCTGTTGCAGATCGGAATACATGTCTGAGTAGCTCTTCCGTGCATCTTTCTTCATCCACCCAAAAGTCGGGGGTTGTTATAGGGATATCTGAATTTGGGGTTAGCATTGGTATTCACTCTTCTGGATGTAGATATAAATCAGGGAACTGACCTTCGTCGAGAGCTCTTTGTAATGCAGCAACTAGACTCCAATAACCAGTCCACAGCTTGCCACGATACTCAATACAGAAACGCTTTGGCTCTTCCTCCTCCTCAGACCAGAAACTAAAGTTCAGCAAGTCCATTGTAAAGATAAAATCGACTGTACTCTCGTCTTTGGTCTTTGGATGCAGTTCGTGCTCTGACCAGGTGTGTGTGGAATATTCCTTCTTCTGCATCATACGCCATATAGTTTCGGCGGCCTCTTTAGTGTGAACAAGGCTGACAGCAATATCAATGGCATTGTCGAAGACAAACTGAGCCCCCTCGAGCACTTTGGTCTCTGGTGGGGCGTCCTTTGGCCTTTCACCCATGCCAAAATGCTGGCGAAGAAGCTCTACCAACTCAGGGTCGGCTTCATCGTCGGAATTTGCCTCGACCTGATCATTTCTCTGGGCCGGAATTGGGTCCAATGATGGCATGATGATTTCTTTCTTTTGATTTGATCTTGATTGAAACCAAATAGACAAATGGTTAGATATGGAGTCAGGGGTGTCTTCTTTGATATATGACTCCTGCGGTGAGAAGCTAGCCCCGGCAGATAGAGACCCGGTAGATATTCCACCCCACCTGGATATTCGAACGTTTTGAAGCTGCAAGCGAACGTGTGATATCAAATTAGTACTTGGAGATATCCGTGGCTTTTTTTCTCGCCACACCGAGATTTTGACCCGATAGCCTCTGGATGGATAGAGTCACCGGTTATGTAAGCAGGTACACTCGCTGGAGCCTTTCAGGTACACCCCTAATATATCTGAAAAGCTCTCAGATATGCGCTGGGCTAGTATAGACCAGTGAGATTGACTGTTATCTGGTAATGATGTTCCTTTTAGCCACAAAAAAGCTCCGGGCATTATGGTTTACAGTACCAGAGGCTCTGCATGTCTGGACTACCTGGTATCTTGAAAGAATATATATAGATAGTATCGTCACTATGGAACTATATGTGCAGCTCTCTCATTTCCAAATAACCTCAAGTTCACTTGGTGTTGTAGAAGACGATTAGCGTGCATATGCGCCTTGCGTATTGCCGTATGAAAAATAAAGACAATCACAGAAAAGATAAGAAAACAGTCAATTACACTCTAGATCAATGTATGGACTATTCTTTCACCCCCAAAAGACCAATATAAAAGGAGTAGAAAGTGGAAAGTCGAGCGAAAGTAAGTGGAAACCCACGTGTGAGGCTCCTAGCTACCTTGGAAGTGCCGTCATCGCCAACGGCCACTGTTTCCGGCTCAACTTCCTTTGCTTTACATTTAACCCCCTTCTTTGACCTTTTCCCCCTTGGCAATTCATCCACAGAACATACACACTACACCATTACCACATCACCGCATCACCACACTCCCGCGATCATCATTCACTGCCCGCCATGCGGGATAGCTCTCTTAAGCGCTCTCTCGGGGTGGACCTCACCCGCTCCCTCAAAGAGGTAAGGACAGCTCTGCTGGCGTGCAATCCTGACATCCAAGTGACGCTAGCCTGAAAACATATTCTGACAGTCCTTTCGTCACGTATAGTCACGCGTTCTTCTCGTCGGCGCAGGCGGCATCGGCTGTGAGCTACTGAAAAACCTCGTCCTCACCGGGTTCGGCGAAATCCACATTATCGACCTTGATACCATTGATTTGAGCAATCTTAATCGTCAGTTCCTTTTTCGACATGAACATATCAAGAAATCAAAGGCCTTAGTACGTCCAACCGACCCACCCTGCGCACTTGCGCCGCTCCCTTGCGAGTTAAGCGTCGCGCATCGGCGTTGTGGGAACTGTTTAGCGATAAGAAATATGAAGTACTAAGATATGGATGCTTCACTCTAGGTTGCCAAGGAAGTTGCGCAAAAGTTCCGGCCTGACACAAAGCTCGAGGCCTACCATGCGAACATTATGGATGCCCAATTCAACATCTCGTGGTTCGAGTCCTTCAATGTCGCGTTTAATGCGCTGGACAACATCGCCGCGAGACGACATGTGAACAAGATGTGCCTAGTAGCCAACGTACCCTTGATCGAAAGTGGAACTACAGGCTTCAATGGCCAAGTTCAAGTCATTCAGAAGGTATGTAGCAAGAAGGATGTCTAGCTCTAGGATTGGGCGTTTACTAACTACGTATTTTACCAGTCCCAAACCGAGTGCTATGATTGCACCCCGAAACAAACCCCCAAGTCATTCCCCGTGTGTACGATCCGCAGCAACCCTACTCAGCCGATTCATTGCATTGTTTGGGCGAAGAGCTTCCTTTTGCCGTAAGATCTGGCTCCCAAGCTGACGGCTTTAAACGCTCACCTCTCAATAGGGAACTTTTCGGCGATAGTGAAGATGAGACACCGGAGATCGATAAGACAGAAAACGCAGATAATGGTTGGTTCAATTTCATCTATGACTCGACGCTGAAACTGACATCCGGCTAGCAAACGAAATTGCGGAACTGCGCAAGGAAGCCCTTGAGCTCAAAGAGTTGCGACAATCCATTGGCACCGAGGAAGCCTACCAGAAGGTCTTCGATAAAGTTTTTCGATTGGACATAATAAGATCACAGGACATGAAGGAAATGTGGAAGGAAACGGAGCCCCCGGAGGCCCTTAACTTTGCTCAACTCCAAGAAGAATCCAATTCCATTGCCCCGACCATCTCCACCAATGACCAGAAAGTGTGGACGTTGGGGGAGAATTTTAGCGTTTTCAAAGATAGGTAGGACCTTCCTGCCGCCGACAGCATTGGTTCTATAAACTAACACGCTACAGCCTGAACCGGCTTACCCATCGTCTGAAGCAACTTCAAGAAAAACATCTCCCAGATCAAGAACCCCCCATTTTGACATTCGACAAAGATGATGTGGACACTTTGGACTTCGTTACCGCGGCGGCTAATCTTCGAGCTGCTAATTTCCACCTTGAACTCAAATCCAAGTTTGATGTCAAACGTGAGTTTATCAAATTATGGTTTACATTTCACGATGATGATTATTGACAAAGTAAATACAGAGATGGCGGGCAATATCATTCCTGCCATTGCAACCACCAATGCCATGACAGCTGGGCTATGTGTTCTTCAGTCATTAAAGGTGTTTCAAAACAACTTGATGCATGCCAAAATGGTAAGTGCTTAACACAAGCGTCCCCACTACTACTAAAGCTAACAAGCTATCGCTTTGGAAGGTCTTCCTAGAGAGATCCGGTGCCCGTGTGATCAATTCAGAGTCATTGAAAGCCCCAAATCCCAATTGCTCTGTCTGTTCCCCTGTGATAGCTCGTGTCGAAATTGACTCTGAGCTAGCAACGCTTGAACACCTCATCCACGATGTTCTTCAGATGGAGCTTGGTTATGACGGAGGGGTTTCCCTTGCTGTTGGCAGTCTAATGATTTATGATCCCGATTTCACCGACGATTTGAAGACAAAGTTATCTGACCTAGGCATCAAGAATGAGAGCTTCATAAGAGTAAAAGATGAGGAAGACACGCGAGTTGATATCGAGCTGATGATCGTGGCACGGTACGCCCCCGTCCTTTCAAGAGTGCTGGGCAATATTAACCAATTGATCCGCAGAAAGGGGCCATCTCCCAAGGACTCAAAGCCTGCGACCCTGCAGAAGCCGGTTGAGATACCATTGAAGCCCGCGGAGCCTGCGGAGCCTGTGAAGCCTTCTCCTGATGCTCCAGCAACCGATGATGTAACCGTGACTGGGAAACGCAAGCGTGAGGGCTCGAATGACGACAGCAGCCACGATGCCAAACGGCTCGCTAGTGCATCAATTCCTGACTCAAAGGGCATTGAAGCTATTGTTCTTGACGATGATGAGGGAGGTGCCATCATGATCGATGATTGAATGATAGAAACAGACTTCGTTTCACGTGATTACTTCAAGGTATCACTCGCAACCTTTACAGGTGTTTGGCTTGCTATTCATATCTTTTCATACATCCCCATTTTTTCATTTGTTCCTTTTCCCCCTTCAAACCTTCTGTATCATACGGCATAAAGGCGAATGTTTTCAGTGAACCATGGAAGGTTTAACATCTCAGGACATGCCTTGGATATGGACATGATGATGCATTATCAGGATTTTCCAACTGCTAGCGCTGATAGATTAGTAGAATATGACTGAACTCAACAGTATTAGGGGAATACTCCATACTACTCCAATGACTCTGCAGATCGGCTCGCTTAACTCGAAGCGAGATCCGAGAGCACGTCATCTATGCAATGGCCCGTCAATCCAGGAACATTTGCGGAGAAACACGTGGAGAGCCGGATATCGTCTCGATGGAAGTCTAATAGATGATACATTGATCTACACAATATACATTGGGAACCCAATGAAAAGCGCAATCTTCCCTTCGTATCTCGTCATTTCAATGTAGTCTATTTAAGTGGAAATTGAATCCTATGCCTGAATCTAGTTGAATATCCAAGTTTGAGTGTATTCGACATGAAGCTCGTCCAATATCTCGCACTTCTTCCGCTTTGCCTAGCAAGCAGCAGCTATTATTTTGATGGCTCTGCTAGCAGCAATGGAGATGGCACTCAATCTAGTCCATATAATACCTTGGCTTCGATCCCCAATCTGTCACTCTCTCCTGGCGACAACATTCTTCTCAAACGAGGCACCTCTTTCGTCGGGCCCCTGTTGCTTAACAAGAGTGGATCCCCGGGATCAGTTATCACAGTTGGTGCCTATGGAGATGTCGGGCAGTCGAAACCGATTGTTGGCGCAGGTTCTACCTTGAATTCAGTTCTGCTTCAAGGGGCTTCCTTTGTCACTGTTCAGGATCTTGATATCACCAATCCAGGAGACAACAAAACACCCCGCCGTGGTGTGTATGTGTATGCGGCCGATGCCGGCCGAGTCCAGGACATTACACTACAACGTCTCTACATTCATGATGTACGAGGCTGGATGCCCTCAACGACAACTACTGGCATTGCTACGGGGAAGTACGCAAACGCTTCCGGTGGCATTGTGATTGAGGCCGCTGGCTCAAAAACTCCAACATATTTCGATGGCCTCCTCATCCAAGATAATGAGATCCGCTCGGTAGACCGGCAGGGAATCTATACATGGAGTAATTGGTGCCAGAGAGAGGAGCTTGCTGCTTTCTGGAACACCCTGTGCCTCAAGCCATGGGCGGCTTCCTCTGGATTGGTGATCCAACGAAATCGTCTGTACGATATCGGCGGAGATGGAATCGTGATCACGGGAAACGATGATGCCGAGGTACTAAAAAACACTCTGGTTGGTTTCAATCGGCGCTCCGAATCCTACAACGCGGGACTATGGACAGCGAACAGTGTTGGGTCTGTCTTCCGGTATAACACTGTATCAGGTGGCAAGTCGACACTTGATGGTATGTGCTCTGAGCCTCATTCATTGACTGGGCCAGGCTAACTCGTGGTTTAGGGATGGCTTATGATGTGGACCATTCGACCTCGGGTACTCTTTTCGAGTACAATGTATCCCACGACAATGAAGGTGGATTTTTCTTGTTCTGCCCTTACGATAAACCAACCCAAAACTTCACGATCAGATACAACCTGTCTGTCAATGACCGTGCAAGAATCTTCCAGGTTTGCGACGGGGGTCTCGTTGGTGGAAAGATCTACAAAAACACCATCTACATTGGAGATGGTCTCTCGCCCTATATCGTCACAGAAGCCACAGCCGCGGCCCTCGATGTCCAACTTACCAACAACATCTTCAAAAAAGATGGCTCTGGTGCGGCTAAATGGGGGCTGAGTGATACCAGCTTTACTGTCAACAACAATGCCTTCTACGGCTCCATCGACACTTACTCCAAGGCTACCAATTCGCTCACTGAGGCCCCAGGTCTGGCCGCTCCTGGATTGAGGGATCCCAAAGCGTATCAACTCTTGACCGGCTATCCCACCTTGAATTCTGCAACAGCTGTACAAGGTGACGCGGACGTGGATTTCTTCAATAACCCGACAAGTGCGCATGCAAATCGGGGATTTTACTCTGGTGCTGGAAGAAAGGTTCCAGCATGGATCAGTCGCTTCGATGACTCGAGCCTATCCGGCTGGACCGTCACGGGAACTGCCTCCATTGTCGCAGACCCATCTGGTGGGTTAGGTAAATCTCTTTCGCTCGCTTCTGGTGTTTCAGTGACTAGACCTCTCTCTCTCACTGCTCCATTCCGCCTAAATTTGAGAATTTGGGCTCCAGTTGGTACTGGCACATCCCCATCGGTGGAGATCCAGGGAATTTCTAAAACAGCTACTGTGAAGTTTGCTGCTGGTACACCCTACAGACAAGGAGAATGGCAAATTCTGGAAGTTGCTTTCTCGGATAGTGCGTCAACCGCTACTGTGGACGGTGAGTCTGTCACTGTGGGTTCTGTGACGCAAAGTGACAAAGTTACCACGGCGTTTGTTAAGGTCAATGGAGGATCGACTGGTTTGATAATCGACGATATATTTGTGACGGCTGTTTGACTGTTGTGACATATAATATATCTAGCCGATTGCATGACAGCAACGTCTAGTTTATAACATGCAAATCAGTTTTGATGAATCAATCCCCTCGTGATATTGTAGTATAGGAACTCGGTACAAATACACTTGCTTTATTAGTATTACATGTCCCGCCAGGATCAAAATCAAACGGCACTCAATCCACCATCGAGGTTTAGCACACAATTGTTGGCATATTCATTCTGCGCCAAGAACACAGCTGCATCAGCAATCTCACGTGGATCGCCGAATCGATGAAGAGGAATAAGATCCTTCAGCCTGCTCGTTTCCCCGGGTGTGAAGTCTAGTATCAAAGTCAGTCAACGCATGGAAAAATATAGAATTTTCAACTTAATATACCTGCAACCATGGGTGTATCAATATAACCCGGCACGATAGCATTTGACCGAATGACAATATCTTTCATTGAGGCTGATGCTTCAACAGCAAGTGACCGTGTCAGACCGAGCAGACCAGCCTTGGAAGCAGCGTAGGGAACTGCGCCAGTTCCACCCTTGACTGCGAGTAAAGAGGAGACGTTAATTATGCATTTTGAGGGGGGCTTGGTCGCCCTAGCTGGATCCCCCGATTCCGTATGCGGCCCCGGATGGAGGCACGCATTAATGCGCGCGAAGTGAGGATTGCGCCTTCGAGATTGGTACGTAGGATGGAGGAGATATCTTCCACCTCGGTCCTTGGCAGAATGTTTGATATCGAAATTCCTGCTGCGTTGACTAGGATGTCTACATTTGCCTGTGTCATGGTTATGAGGGGAAGATTCGTTGACAGGGACGAGATAGCTTACCAATTCATTCTCAAGTTCCCGCATCCATGGCCTAGCGTTTGAGACATCCCCGACAAGTAGGCGGATCTTTCCTTGCGTGACTTGCTGGTTGTCTTCTTCTGGTGTCCGAGTTGCTATTTCAGCGTTGATTTCACCAAGATCTGTTTCTGCGACTGCGAGAGACCCAAGCTTTGCCGCTGCTTCCTCTAGGCGTGTTTGAGATCGGCCAACGAGCACTACCGTCGATGCACCTTCTTGTAGAAATCGTTCGGCAATGGCGAAGCCGATGCCGGATGTCCCACCAGTGACCATGCATTTGCGGCCGGTAAGTCGGTCTCCAGACCGGAGTGAAGTCTGGTTATCTTCATCAGGTTGAGATGAGTATGATCGCTTTGTATATCCTATAGGACTTGATACTCGGTTGTTGACGTAGCCTGCATTGCTTAAATTGATCGCCCTTGGGGAGTCTCGGATGGATAGAGTTGGCACTCGCAAGCGAATTAGAGGAGCTCTCAGACTACCCATATTGTTTTTAACTTGTCCGAACTCCAAACAGAACGCGATATGGGGAGAATTGGGTGCGTCATCGGGAGCAGCTTCAGCACGGACCAACGCGCCAACCTCAAAAAGGCTCTTTCGCTCCACAGCGGTCACTTTCTTACAACTACGCGACGCGTCTTTCATGATGGCGCCATCTACAGATTCCGAGTTTGTGACTATAGTCTCAAATGACGGATTTGAATTCATTATCCCTCGCAGCGCAGCTTGCGTCTCAGGTACCATCCGGCGCATGCTGGACCCTTCGAGTACGTGGACATGATATCCATTGCTACACGGACTATACTGATCCCCTACAGGCAAATTCCCTGAGGGTCTCACCGGTCGCTGTGTGTTGGAGGAATTCTCGTATGTCTCTCGCCCATGTCTTTTTTTTTGGTAGCCATTGCTAACGATTTTTGGTTCTGCAGTGGCATCGTTGTCGAAAAAATCTGCGAATACTTTTGCTACAATGAAAAACACAAGGACCAAGTCAACGTACCGGACATGGATATTCCACCTGAGTTGTGCCTGGAACTCCTGATGGCCGCCGATTTCTTGGATACTTGATTTGCATGTGGCACCTTTGGCCTTCGGTTTCTTATCATCTTTCTGAGACCTCAGGTATTGGTCATTCTTGTTTCAGCTCACCTCGCTTTTGCAATGGTTTACGGCGCGATGACATAGGACATTCGACTTTTACGACGATATCATGGGGAGTTCCGGACTGGCTTATACAGGCTTGATCATGGCGTTATGTCATGATACGTATTCTACGGGATAGAATATTTGGAACTTTATGCAAATACATATTCTTTTTTCTGCTCTCGCAGTATTCTCGACTCTGCCGAAGACCTCTTATCCCATCTGAGCATATGCAAACGGTCGATACCTCTATGGCCGAATTTGTCTAAAGATGATGGTAGATCAACACTTCCCATGATAACACGCTTGCCTAGACTACTACTGGCAAAGGGTTTGGATCATTGGAGACAAATTGCATGAAGTACTTTGTAATTCTATCCGTATCAAGGAAACTTATAATCAAGAAATATTCCATCAAGTGTATCAATTGAAGCTGGAGGCTGGGGAGTCCTGGAGATTTTGATGGCTGAGTCAGCAAGCATTGGCGGGTCTGGCTCCACCAGTGGCCAACTTCCAAGGAAGTGCCCGCCATTGTGAAGATCATTCTTGCATACATTGAGTTTGCGGGATGCAGTTCACAGGAGCATTGCTCACTGTGGTCTTCAGTCTAGTCACATATTTCGACTTTTAGTCATTCTATTTGCCTGTGCCTCTAGTTGGACGCACTGGGGGCCCTCCGTGTTGATTGCATCTGCCCCGGATCACTGATAAGGCTCACCCGCAGAGGCGCATCAACACCGACTCTCATCATGTCAGGCGTCGTGGAACCCTCCACAATACCAACCACATCTAGCAAGGCTTTGTTGCAGCATTTGAATACCACCTTGTCGCCAGAAACTTCTTCTTTGTCCTCTTTACCGCATCAACTCTTGACCTCCCCCCTTCGCGCCTTTCAACACGCCGAGACCTTTGCCCTCCGAACAGTTCCCCAAACTATCGCTAGAATAACCGGAATTCAAGCCCTGGGCCGGAATATCTGGAGCGGGGCTGGTTCAGCGGCTGGAGCCAGCGGTGCGGCCGCAACACATGCAGCAGATATGGCTGGAAACGAGTTAGCGGATGTAGCCGGTCAGGAGAGTGGCTACTACATTGCTGAGTTTTTGGGTGCGATGAAGAAGCTCGGTGGATTCTTTGGATATTTGACAAGCCTTTGGTCATTTGCCTGTCTGGTAGAAGTGAGTTCCCGCTTTCGACTAGTATACTCACCATGCTGATGGATCTAGGCGCTTATCCTCAACCGAATTACTATCTATGCGTCCACGCGGCGACACCTTCGACTAGGCTGGGAAAGGCGTGCGGCTCTCCGATTGGTGCCAATCGTTTTGTTTGTCTCCCAAATCCTCAGCCTTCTCCGCGGAATCCGATGTCAGACATCGCCGTCTTTTTCTACAATGCGCTACGGGTACCCCGGAAAACAACTAGCGTTCGACTATTCCAGTGATGGGGGTGCTCTTTACTCGATTAGCTCGACACTTCTGGGGTGGGAGTCTGAGGAACAGTCGTGCAGTGCTGTGAAGATGGCGCGCGGAACCAATCCCGGTATCCCATATGGATCATTCTCCCTACTCTGGCCAACATTCATGCTCCTTTGTTTGAGTCACTTTATTGAAACACTCTCATGCGCACTACAAGGCAGGCCGGTGATGACCGAGACGGGGATGTCCATCTTCGAGCACTCTATTGCCTTCGCAGAAGCCGAGTCCATGATCAGTAAGTCCATCGGACTTGGCCTGTTCGGCCTTCCCAAACAAAGCCCTCTCAGTGCGCTTTCGGGTGGGTCTGATGACAGCTCAACTTCTGTCTTTGAACTACTCACAAGGTCGCAAGTCTTGGAGCGCATGAATGTCACACCCGAACTGTTACTCATCGCATTGATCTCGTGCTGCAACAGTGCCACCTCCCACATACTAGAAGTTTTTGGGAAGCAGAGCAAATATCGGCTTTTCAACACCGCCTTTTGGGGCGCCTGCTTCATGATAGCCATGTTGTGGGGGTTAGATGGCGGTCCGCCCGTCAGCCTGGAAACCGGCGTGCTCAGGTTCCCAACTGTTTGCATTGTGGGATTTATCCCTCATATCTTCCTATTGGGCGGCATTGTGATCTGTCTCTCAATATACACCTTGGCACTCACCATCACCGCTGTTTCATTGCCCTCGGAAGATCGACCTGTTTCACTCTATGACCGTTTCTTGATGGCCCACGAGAATATGCAAGGATCAAACCAGATAAGGAGCATCCGTATAAACAGACACGAAGACTTTTATACGACGTTGCTTCGAATCGGCTACGTCGCGCTCACCGCAGCAAGTGAGGCTGTGTTCTTGAATGAAGGAAAATCAGTCGTCGCACGGCGAATGACATGGTTAGAAGAGGATCGGCTTTCGGAGATTGAAGCTTCGAGGCGGAAGTCTTCATCATATGGCAATTGGCGGAGCGAACCAAGCGATTCCAGCAGTCGGCCTATTGAGGCTATGGGTTTCTCGAGTTTCGATATGCCGGAACCATCTGCTTGGGAGAGTGGCTACAACCGCGAAAAGAAGGTTGAGAAACCCAAGAACGGTGCTCGAGCCGTTCAATCTCGGGCGGAGCTTGGGGGTGTTGGCGCAGTGCGAGTATCTATCAGATTATGGCATGCACTCTCGTTCTTCCGGGCAATCTCCCTCATAGTACTTCGTTGGCTTGCCTATGGGCTCAATAATGTACTTGATCGACTGAGAATAAGCGCTCGGCCAATGTGGCTAAAACGCATTGTGGGCCACCGTGGGCAAAAGTCCAATGACGGCAAGGTGAACCCATCACAGCCATTAGATTTCTGGATTCTCTCAGAAAATGGAGAGCTTGAGCTCCCCGATGATCATGACTTTGACGTCGAGATCGAGATGAGAAAACGAGAGCGCGCGAATCGGCCAGACTGGATGAGCTCGGATGAAAGCCGGTTAGACGACAGACTGTACAGCTGGTGGAAAATTGGCGGTGCATGGGGAAACCAGGATCAAACTTCTGATTATTCCCCGCCCTCGGATGACTTTGACACCACGAGCGTGCTGTCTATGTCTACCAATGCCTCAGGGTCGGAATGGGAGGATTACCCATCGGAAGATGGTCGTCGGACTCCCACTCAACTCGAACCGTATGCAGATAGAGCAAGCCCACCACCCCAAGACCCCCTGATCGACATGAGCACACTCGCCCGCCTTCTGCACCCGCGCGATCGCGAAAGTAGAGAAGAAGCCAGGATTTTAGCTGCCCATCTTAAAACAGACCAAGACAATCCACAGATCATGACGCGCAGTCGCTACCAAAAACAAGTTGAACAGGAGAGATCCCGGATCATCTTCTCATCCCGTCTCCAGCAGCTCAACGCGATGCATTCAGGATCAGAATGCCGGAAACCTACCCCCGAAGAGGAAGCTGAACTTCTCGAAAAGCTCATCCTTTCCCGTCGCTCGGAAACCTCCGGCAGTTCCGACGGCCATACATGGGAATCGGGTGCAACAGGCCTCGGCCCTAATGGCCCACCCTGTGTGGTCTGTCAGACAAGCCCACGGGCTATCATCACCTGGCCTTGTCGCTGTCTATGTATTTGTGAGGACTGTCGCGTCAGCCTTGCCATGAACAACTTTGGTAGCTGCGTGACTTGTCGTCAAGAAGTCGTAGGATTCATGCGTTTATGGGTTCCTTAAGTCAATCTGTTTCGATCGTTCGGTTTTTTAGCTTTGATTTTTTTTTATATCTTTGGCTCACATAGGTTTCATATTATTGAATACTTTGTAATGTAATATATTACCTTTGCATGGTGATTTCAGGCTTTCAGTGAGATATATCACACCCAAAGCTCATCGAGAGTTGCGTTGCTTCGTCCGGCAGTTTTTATGTTGATAATTCCCTGTTTGCTGCCGCACATCTATGAGATCTTTCCCGGGTTACTCTCACGGGAGTAGACGGCCATTTATGCGGCCCTCTGATATCCCACATGGGTCTTTAGAGTGTTTTCAGCGGTCTTCTCAAGCCTTAATAGGGCCCTAGTCTAGGTCCTAGGTTGGGTCTGATTTGGATGTCTCGACCTTAACGTGGGTAGTGCGACAGGCTACCTCAGTCTAATCTATACCAGGCTTCAACCAGTCTTTCTATTCTCTTTGTCCTTAACGGAGACTTTTGGTCCACTATAGATGGGCCGCTTGGACGACCGATCACTTGAGTTATAGATGGTTTATGTGAGGGATCGGCGGAATAACGGAGACTTTTGACCTACTGTGAACGGTGTTATTACTCCGAAAATAGATACTGACAAATCGACATCTAGACAGCATCAAAAGATATCGCATTGCGCTTCTAGACAAGTGGGATTACCGCGCCGTCTGTAGTTCTCACTCTTCATCTTCCATAAATTTAGTTCTCTTTTTCTTCGCAAACCTCTTCGCCCATCACCACAGCCAAGTAGTATTCACTCCTATTCATAATGACCACCTCATCTCTAGAAGGGCAGGAAGCAGCATTGTATCATTCCAAATTTCGGCCATCGAGACATGCTGATGGTAAGAAGCTCTCAAATATGTCTTGCAACAGCTATATGCATTTGAGCGCGTTGACTAACCTATACAGACCCAGATATACGTTCTGCGCAGACCGCGAAAGATGAATACGTCTACATTGCCGATAGCTACAGCTTCATTCGGCAGATCGTCCTCATCATCACGGTGTGTTCATCCATGTTCACCAATCAGTTGGGCCTATGCAACAGCCTCACGACGCTCGAAATAATCGGAAAGTCCTTTGGAGTCACCAATCCTGGTAAACTCTCGTGGACAATCTCTGGCTACGGCTTGACTCTAGGCACATTTGTCTTGATTGGAGGACGTTTGGGTGACGAGTTTGGCAACAAGGCAATCTTCATTACTGGTATGGGCTGGCTTGCTTTGACAAGCATGATGGCAGGAGCCTCTGTCTACTCCAGCTACCCCGTCTACATCCTTGCTCGTGTCCTGCAAGGCATTGGTCCCGCCTTAACTGTACCTAATGCCCTCGCCATCATGGGCAAATGCTTCTCCCAGGGCCCTCGAAACATGGGATTCGCATGGTTTGCCGCATCAGCCCCAGTCGGTGCCATGGCAGGTCTTCTCTTTGGGCCGCTCTTTGCAATGGCTTGGTGGCCATGGATCTACTGGAGTCAGGCTTTGGGGGTTGCCTTTCTCTTTATCCTCGCTTTTTTTGCAATTCCAAACATGCCTGTCGAGAGTGAGCACAAGCAGCGACGAACGATGCGCGAAACTTTGGACCGCCTTGATTTCCTAGGAGGTGCAAACGGTGTGACAGCTCTGGTTCTGTTCAACTTCGCCTGGAATCAGAGCCTGGTCACTACTTGGGACGAACCCTATGTCTATGTATGCCTCATTCTTAGTTTCTTGTTCCTAGCGGCTTTCTTTTACATCGAACTTCGCGTAGCTCGCCATCCAATCCTACCAGTCGCTGTCCTCACTTCCGACATTGCCTTCGTCATTGGTTGTACAGCAGCGGGCTGGTCCACATTTGGCATCTGGGCAAGTACTGATCTTTGCCCCAAAAGTATGTCCAACTAACAAGCTGTCTAGCTTTTCTATGTCATCCGGATATGCCTCAATATTGGTGGTCAAACTCCCATTCAACTGGCTGCATGGCTTTCTCCTATCCTCGTCACCGGCATAGCAACAGCATTGGTCGTTGGAAAGATAATCAACCAGGTCCCAGCCGCGTCTATCATGCTGTTTGCAATGCTTTGCTACTTCCTCACTTCCCTTCTCATGGCGTTGCGACCCGTACACTCGACGTACTGGACCTACTTTTTTTTCGCTACTATCATCGCCACCTTTGCAATGGATTCATCGTTGCCTGCTGCCACGATCATCTTCTCGAACGCAGTGCCCCGACAGTACCAGGGTATGGGATCTAGTGTAATCATGACGATTGTTGTCTACAGTATATCGCTGGGCCTTGGCTTCGCTGGTACCATTGAGCTCCAGATCAACAATGGCGGACACACCAAGGCAGACTTGCTTCATGGTTACCGGGGCACTCTCTGGTTTTCTGTCGGGTTGACGGCATTCGGCACTCTTCTCGCTTTGATCTTTCTACTTAAAGATTTTCGAAGACGAAAGTTGGCGCCCTATTGATATAATTTATAATCTAGTTAAACTGATCTTCAATATTAGATTACATAGTAGTTCAAGTCCTAATAGATCTTACTCCTCCTTCTAAAATCTATCTATGGCTATGAGTTGCCCTATTCAGTAAAATCAAGAATAGCCACCTCTCCCTGGTTAGAACTGACGTATATAAATAATATAGGTCCATATTCAAGCCCAGTGAGCTTTCACCCGGGCCCACAGCCCACCGGTGGGCTCAAAGATAGGACCCAAAGCCTGACCTACTTGCGGGTTGGGCTGAGCAATAGGCGTTGTGGGCTTTAGTGAGCGCTATTTCAGGCATAGCCGTCGATTTGAACCACCAGAAGAAGACTCATGACCAATGCAGTCCTGTAGGCCCTCCAAGTTCAACACACCTCCCCATTGCTGCCTAGGTCCATGGCTGCTCCGTCGAGGAACTGCTTCTCAATCACCAAGTCCAACTCGTTCGAGTCATTTGAGTCTTCTAGCTATGGGCCTTTTGTATTTTCTAGTGTATCCAAAGCCTTTCAGCCATGCTAGTGTGGCTGGCTAGCATCGGTTCCACCCCTGAGATACGCCTTTTGATATTTGGCTCTAAGTGCTCAATTTCTTGGTGATTGTGTAGGTAGTTGTGATTGGATGGAAACTGGAGAATGAATCAATGGTTCCCATAAACAGGTAACATAGCAAAGTATCTCACAGCCGGAATCCCAGGGAATGCCAACATAACCTAATTATTAATTCTCATAGACTAGAGGCCGGTACTCAGCCTCCCACATCTGGATTCGAATCCACTCTCGCAGCTCCGATTCATCGGTAGGGATGCCTTTAGCCTGTGCCAGCCCCTCCTCCACAGCACACGAGATCACAGCCGCGGCAATATCAACACTGATTTCACGCACATCTTCCACATCGGGCAGCAACGGCTTAGCAGAGTCTTTCAGGGCTGGTGACCGCGCTTTGAGTGCTTCCACGGCAGCAACTAGCATCTTCTTAGACATGAGACGACATTGCGAGAGGACTGCTCCCAGACCGATGCCTGGGAAGCAAGTGGAGTTGTTGCATTCCGCTGAAATATCATTAATACACTGAGCAGTCAATGTTTGAAGAGATGCTTGAATCATACCAATTTCATAGTCTGTGCCGTTATGGGTGACTGGCGGGAATGGACTCCCCGTGGCAACGAGGGCTCGTCCGTCAGTCCATTCATAGAGATCAGCGGGCTTCGCCTCGTGGAGTCGTGTCGGATTGCTCAAGGGGAAGATGATTGGTCGTTTTACATGGTCGGCCATCTCACGGATGATGTCTTCGGTGAATGCTCCGGGCTTGGTAGAGGTCCCGATAAGCACATGAGGATGGACTTTTTTGACGACCGACAGAAGATCTCGATCATTGTCCGACCACTGGTCGTCATTTCGCGCGAAAGATTTTTGGCCTTCGGTCAACTTATCACCAAGGGACTTTACAAGGAGACCGGGCTTGTCGATGCACCTGGATGAATGAACACTGTGAGTGGGGATTTCATCTTCCATATCACTCATTGTCACGTACCATATCTGCTTAGAGGCTTCGTCTTTTGACTTTCGTGTCTCTGTGGCGATGGTATCTGAAATTTGGTCGGCAATGCCAATACCAGCCGTTCCTGAGCCGAAGATCACTACTCGCACATCTTCCAATTTAACTTGGCTGACTTGAAGTGCAGCCAACATGGCGGCGAGCGTAACACACCCTGTGCCCTGGATGTCGTCATTGAAACAAGGTATCTGTGACTGATACCTATCGAGTATTCTCCGTGCATTATTGAGCCCGAAGTCCTCGCTGGTCTTGTTAGCTGTGTTTCGCGCAGTAGAGAAGGCAGGGGCTCTCATACAAGTGAATATAAGCCTTGGGAAATTGTTTGCGAGCAGCCTTGACGAACTTATCCACAAATTCGTCGTATTTCTCCCCCTGACCCGACGCTGTCGGAGGCCTAGATATAGCTTGTCATTGAGCAGCTCTTCGTTCTGTGTGCGATGTCAGCAAATGTAGATTAAGCACGGGGTAGGGAGTACGTACATCTGTCCCGCAATCCAGTACAACCGGGAGCTGTCGCGAAGGATGGATTCCAGCACAGAGCGTGGTAATAACCAGTTTCGCAACCGATATGAGAATAGCGCCCACACCTTGGTCTCCAATGCCTAATATCTGCAAGAAAAGAATGAATGGTAAGCAAGACCACGCACTAATTCAACCTCCAGCAGTGATGTATGTACCTCTTCCCCATCACTGACAACAATGTAATCCACATCCTCCTTAGTCCCAAACCCAGCGAGATACTCGTCAAAGTGATCTTGATCATTGATATTCAAAAAGCACCCCTCCGGCTTCCTAAATAATCGCGAGTAATTCTCAATCGCATCTCCTTCCGTAGGTGTATAGATCACACTGAACATCTCCTTGAGATGGGTTTGCACGAGCTATTCACTGGTTAGCTTTCGTGCACCTGCTGATATGGCTTAGTCGGGATGTCAGGACCTTGTAGTACAGCACTTCATTCTGCGCCTTCATACTCGCCAGGAAGGTGTTTTTGGCTAGATCATCTGCTCTGCTTTGATACTGCTGATAAGCGCGCTGGACCTGCTCATCCAGTGTCTGGATGTTTGGCGGGAGCAGACTGTGGAGCTTGAACTTTGTTCTCTCATGTTCTGGAAAGGCGGATCCTTTGTTAAATTGAGATGATTTGAGGAGCGATGTTCCCTAGTGGTGTGAACATCGGAGTTTTCATTCGAGAAGATGATTAATTTACCTTGTACGGGCAGGTCAATGGGCCTGCGACGCGGGGTAGATCGTGGAATTTGGAGGTTGCCATCTCTTTGAATATCGCGTGTTAGATGAAGGAGAAAGGGAAGAGACAGGAAAGGAAGATCCGAGGTTGTGCCAACCTGTTTGCGCCACTGGTCTTCGTCATCCGTCAAGTAAAAGTACAATCTTCATATCAACCACTCTTTGAATACCCCAAATCTTTTATTGAACTATCGAGTAATTCATGAAATGATTTTTAATTAGATTATCAGCTATTGTCCTTGAAGTGTGGGTTAATCCAAATATTATCGAGAGGTAATCGTCTACCGTCAGAGTAGAGAACTCCAAGTCTTGACCAAGCCTTTCACGGTTCTCGCTGGTATACCTGGCACCGGAGTAGAGAAGGATGACAAGTGCACCAGTTTGGCCAACTTGGCTTCCGGCAAGTTCCGAGATACTCGCCAGTTGTCTACCTAATCATGGGACCTTAGGTAATCTGTTGAAGCGGACAGTCCCGAAGCCCTAGAGTCTCAGAGCCCCAACCCCTAACCACTATGGGCACCTCGGCAGGTACTGTGCTTGGCATGATTAGTGCTCAGTCCAGCGGATTAAACGAACACGCTCAGCTATCTCCCTCAATTGCCACCCCCGATTCGGGATTTCCCCGTTCGCCTTTTCATATTTAACATCTAAGCCAACGAGCAGTCTTTTCTATCACATCTGTTGGAGAGTATCACTGTTCATTGACTCTTCAGTATACGGTCATTTCTGGATATCAACAGTCCATGCTCGTAATTTGGCCCCCACAAGTGGCTAGCGCAGCTTACTTGTGACCGGCTATAGTTTTGTCTCAGCCCCCTTGGAGCTAAAGATGTCTAGTACTGGAAGAGCATGTTATTGCCCCACTCCAAAAAATATTGACAGTCTCGCAAATATGTGTTCTTCGACGCATCTCTCGACAATCCCGGCAAACTGTTCAGAGAGTCGCCAGAACGATTGTCCTGATTAGCCCTGTCTTTTGGGCAACCGGAAACTTTTCACCGGGGTTTGAGTCTTCAAACCCATGAGCTCAAAGTCGAACTCCTGATTATCATGTGGTTGCTGATGGTGGCTGCCCTCCCTCGTCATTCCCTTCAGTATCATTCCGATCCTCTGACCGAGTCGCGTACCAACCACGAAAATAAGACCTGGTCCCCTTGATTTCCAAGAAATAGGTGGCAAATATACCTTAGCCCGCTCAAGGTCAACACAGGCGATTGACAAGCGAATCCTAAGCAGCTACCCCATGTCTCTTGACTCCCCCAAAGCCGCGACTACAAAAAGTCGACTAGCATACATATAATTCATACAAGCAATCATGATATCTATCATTTCGGCTATTTTCCGCTTTGATCAGGCTCACCGTTCCTGCATTGCGCTAGTGATACAGCCAATGGCTAGCGCAGAGTTCCATCCAATGGTGTAGAGGGGCGAGAAGGGGGAAGGGAAGTTTGTAAAACTCACTGGAGCCTACTATTTAACTCCTCTCGGTGCCTTCCTCTCAAAATTTTCACTTCACGTCTGACCAAAAACCGCCAAAATGCGCACCTCTTTTTTCCTCGCTGCAACCATCGCTGCACTCGGTGCCCAAGCTGACGACACCAGCAGCGTCGTCGTGGGACGTTACGTCCCTTCTTGGGATGTCACCATGCTCGAGTACGGTGGTTGGAAAAGCACTGCCGCCAGTCTCGTTGACATGAATAAGGATGTCGCCACATACCATGTCGGCTGTGAAAAGGACGCTCCCAAGACAGACTGCAACTATCCCGCTTCATGGACGCTCATCCAGGGCCCGGAGACAATGAGCTTGACCGGGAAATATATCGCATCCACCTCGGGCGACGTGACCAGCTACGATATCACTGTTACCCAATCCTACCAGTGTTCTCTGAAAGCTTCAACTGAGTCGGCTAGCTGCACTATGAGCGTGGGTATGGGTGGATCCTTGGACGGAGCAAAATACGAGTCTTCTACCTCCACCAAGGCGACCTACACCACAGCACCAATGTCTGATTATTACCAGTTGACAGTAACCGGGGGACTGGATTCGCTTACGTTTTCGCCTCGCTCGACAACCTCTGGGTCAACTGCTTCTACCACTGCCCAAACAACCCAGTCGACCGGCGGTGCCGCTGGACACGCGGGTGCTCTTATTACAGCTGCTCCTATGGTCGCTGCTGCAGTTGCTGCCCTCTTGTAATGATTTCCAGTGTTTATTTTAAGGCCAGACAAGAATGCTATCAGCCCATTTCAAAGTTTGCAAACTGGTCACCAGATTCGTAGGACTTGCAGAGATGCTCCCATTATCTCGATGTAAGTGTTCCGGTGCTATCGTGTAGAGATTGGGACACAGTAGATCGAGCTTCTCGACATTCATAGCACATGCGAAATGCACACTTCACGAGTCTCCAATTTTTCTTCTCCTTGGGTTTTATATGCTTTGAGATTTAGGATCCCTGAATCATGCACGATACACGACAGCGCTTATACTGTAAATATCACATTTCTAACTGGCCTACATATGCAGACTATACTCAAATCCCTGCAGGCCACCATCACCATATCTCTATCTACCCTTAGATTCGCCTATGTTTTGCACTTAGACAATCAAACACATCCCTTCTGTATTCCGTAGTTCTGGGGTTACAGATATCGCACTTGGTCATCGTTCTTTTGATAAAATTCCTCACATTGTATTCGTCGCCTTGCGCGGTGTTTCCAGGTAGTGCATCATAGTTGGATGTAAGAGAAATATAGATCTCAACGAGAAAATAGAGGGAGGTCCACAAGCCCCAGAAAGTCCTTCGCCAAGTGACAAGTCGAAACATATGTGCTTTAATAAACTCGCTTGTTGAAAGTACACCGGTGGACATAGGGTTTGTAGTGATGCCTTTCAACTCCATTCTTTATCTTTCCAATTAGTATGCGCTTTGTTGTATCTATATATATATACCTACGGGGCTGGAGCAAAAAAAAAAAAGTAACGATCAAATATTAAAGATCAATTTGACCCAAGAGAGAAAACCAAGGCGTGCATTGTATTAAACATGTCAAACTATCAAACTATACAGGGAGGTGACCTATTCAGGCGTCTCGAACGACCAACCCAGCCAGCAGAAAAGGAAGCGAATCCCACCTGCCAACACGAGCTAGTTGCAAACACCAACAACAGCCTCAGATTAGGTATAGATATATTTACAGGACGTAAGCGGCAGCGGCGGCGAGAGCAGCGACACCAGCCATGTTGCCCTTGACACTGCCAGCGCCGTTGAAAGCGGGCGAGGAGGAAGAGGCAGGGGCAGAGCCGGTCTTGGTCACCAGAGGGGTGGAGGTGGCAACACCGGAAGAGGAGCCAATGACGGTGGTAGTGGCGGTGGAGCTGGAGGTCTCAACAGCGCTGGAGCTCTCAGCGGCGCTGGAGCTCTCACCGGCGGACTCGGTGGGCTTGGCGGTGGTGGGCGCGGGGGTGCTGGAGGCCTTGGTGGGCTCAGCAGCGGTGGTGGTCTCAGCACCGGTCTCGATGGGAGCAATCGAGATGGGGACACCGGCGGAAGAGCACTGGTTGACGACGGCGTTGGAGACGGCTGGATGTGTGAGTCAGTGACTAGGATCAAGGGGAAGCATAGTAAGGTGGTAACATACAGATACGGTCCTCGTACTCGCAAGCCTTCTCAACACAGGGGGTGATGTTGCTCACGAGCTCGGTCTTCTTGCAGTGGCACTTGAAGTCGAGCAGCTCGGAGCAACCATCGCCACCCAGGGCAGAGAGGAAGCAGGTCAGCTAAAGGTGAAGTGTTAGTAGACATATCTTTGTGAAGTTTGGAGCATCAATGTCGTTCGTACCGAGCAGGCAGGCACATCGGGCAGCTGGGCGCTGGCGAGGCCGGCGGCAGCGAAGGCAATCAGAGTGGTGGAGAACTTCATCTTGATGAGATAGTTGGGACTAAAAAATAAAAGATATTAAAGGCGTGCCGGAAAAGACAGTCAAGTATTTATAGCGAGTGCGGATGAGTTGAGAAGCAGGTCTGGACTTGGATGGGTGAAGCCCTTTTTATAAGCTTTGCCAGTCTCCTCAACCCCAAGTTCCATGGAGAAACTCGCAGGGTTGCACTAAAGGGCTGCGTGGGACCATCACATGTCTCCGCATGCTTAATGGGAGGCAATCCACCGAGAAGCAGGTCAAGGCCGCGGTTGAATGAGATCGTAATTACCACGAATTGAAAGCCCGGACGCTCATTGCACGGCCAAGCCTGGAGGCTTACGCCGGATCCTGGGTTCCCGCAGCCGACTGATTATTGGAGCGAGTATGGACTGGGGTTGGTGCTATTCTCTCGCACGGTGTACGTATGCCCGCATTGCCAAGTCGAGACTAGAGCAGGACGAACGAGGAAGCCACCGGAAAGGCTGGGCCAGTGGCAATGTTAGTATTTCATCCGTTTGCCAGTCACACGGCCGACAGTTACTGACTTTAATTTCCACTGTGTCAGGCTATGTCAGGCTAGACTCTTGGTACCCTCGATGGGTACGGTACGGTGTACAAAGTATAGGTTGCAGTACATGCAGCACGGAGGACACGCAGTATACGCAGTACATGTAGCATTAGTTGTGCAGCGTCTCCATTGCGCCTCTGCACATAACCTTGTGCCAACAAAGATGTCAACTGATATTTCAACAAAGATGTCAACAACTACTACGCAAAACAGAAAAAAAAAGAGCGAAAAGTGGCAAACCCCATGTATTGCGGAAAATCCGGGGAAGATTGGCCCCCGGCAGGGCCCGAGAGCCAACGTAGTATCGAACTATACCGCATTAGGGCTTGCTCCGAAATGTCTGCATTAATATAACACTAATATATTATTTCGAACACTTATCATACTAATAATACGATATCAGAGATTGAAATTGCTTGGGGTAACACTAACACAGGGCTTCCATTAAAGATGCCCAGATTCAGGCTACCCTGTATAAGGCTGATGTCTGGAGTACTTCGTACAAGGTTGTCTCTCGGACAAAGGCCTTGAAAGGCTGTACACTTTCAGGGTTTCACTGGATATAAGAGTTTGATATCTGAGAAACAGCCTAATTTTAGATATTGGCTGAGAGATATAGCTGAGATATTGTACCTGCATACGGCGATCATTTCCAGTGGCAAAAGGACGTGAGTCAATTCTTGCGATTATTCACCATTAGGATAGCCGGACCGACATATGAGAACTTTGCAGAGGGTCCAGGCAAGTGAGACATTTAGCGGGGGTGGGCCCAGTCAAAAGAATGCTTTGTCCTTTCTCAACACAGCGCCAAGTACACTAGTGTATTGGGAGTCAATGGCCAGGGAAATCAGGAAAATCAGGAACAAAAAGCACCGCTCACATGGAAAAGTATCAGGATTTTGGCGAGATTCTACGGATCTCGTTGGCTACCTGACATCGATTATGGGACTGGGATGAATCTGCTTGTGTCCAATCCAATTGATAGTGACATTGACCACCTTGGCCGGTGATTTAACAGGGGATGTTGTACGCTAGATTAAAATATATGTGCATCGGACACAATCTTATATGAGCTATTGAAATATCACACTCATATCTTCCTATCAAAGGTATCTCCATACTGACCAAAGGCTCTGGGCTCGACACTATGCTGAGGGAAAAAAGGCGCCCTGGCCGGGTGAGACATCTCAATTAGGCTTAGACTTCATTCCCCTAGAGGGACTATGAATGGCTATATTGTAGTTGGAAAAGTTGGAAACTCCCCAGTGAACACAAAAATCATGTACTTCTTTATAACTTCTTTATAGTAATATACTTCGTGGAGAAGAAGCCAAGTTGATAAAAAGCAAATATCGCCAGTGTTCTATATCGCGGGGTCCCCGGACAGACCATTCTCTAAATCCGGGGATAACAACTGGCCAAGATCCGAAGAGATTTCACATGGACGTGAATCTCTAATTTCAGATGAATATAGACATTCTGACCCCGGACCCTACAGATGGCAGCTTAAAATGAGGATCAACGACGCCTCCAGGATCGGGCATTCTCTATCGTATAGACGTATACGGCTTATAAGCGGAAATTACCTGGATTCAATTTGCCTGAGACAATGGAGTCCTGCCTCGGTCGGCTCACATGGAAGTCTCGAAGATTTTGTCTGAAAGTGACAGTTACTCTTCCATTTACAATCTCTTGAAGCCTCGGAATACAGCTTATCCATATGTCATTCGTATCGCATTAATCCCAACGCCCAATCCATGCAAGACTATCAACGCCAATTCAAATCCCGATATATCATCAGGATAGCAATTCATCAATATATGCTCGTTCCTTTGTGTTCTTCCCCTTGAGAAGAACCGCAAGGACTTCGATCGGCGGGTTGAGCTTCAGCTGATTAGCCCGTCTCCAGCGCTTGACTCGAGCAATCCCAACGCAGGGCTAACGAGAAAAAGCCATCATGTTAGACAAATTCCGTATAAAGGAGAATTCTAGGACACCCAGACAACATACCCCATATTGGCTGGAAAGATCAAAATGACGGAGAATTTTTTCCTCTACATCCATGCCTTGCTGGTGGGCTATCGACTTGGAGTTAGCCCCTTGATTCATACTAATACCCCCAACAAGCTCGACTTACCCGTGGGTGCTATGCGAGTCTGCTCTTGCGCCTGCCAGTATCGCCAGATATCCTGCTTGTTCAACTTCAGTGCCCGCTTGTCCTCTTCCGATGGTGGAGCTTGGTGTTCGACTGCAGCCTGCTGTCGTACCGCTAGCTCTGCAACATGGGGCTTGGATGGTTCGTTTGGAGTGACAGATAGCTGCTGAGGCTCCGGGGTGGCAGGTGTAGAATTGTCGGACAATGGAGTTGAATCGAGGGCCTTGGCTTTATGAGATGGTGTGGTGACTGGTTTGGTGACCCGGCCCCCTCCAAAGGACAGTGTCGGCTGCGACCTGGTATTTGTTGCGCGACGAGGCATATTGCTGAATGATGTAGTCAAATGTGTGGATATGTGTAGAAGTTGGGTGGAGCAGGAGGCGATGTCATGGTTGCACTGGCAACCAAACCTTAGACATTTGGGAATTTCGTCCATGGTTCTCATTGGAGCATTGGGATATTTTGATCTATATATTTGATCGCGGCTTACAACAAATATACTGTGTATTAAGATGTATTCTGTTCTATGAATTTATGTGTGATGACGATGATGACATGGACATTGGAAACTGGGCGTCTACGGGTATATTGCTCACGCGATAAGGCATCATTACGTCTAGGGTAGAGATCTGAGACCTATAGGATCCTGCTATATAGGTGATCTATTATATAATAGATCATTTAATATGTCAAATCCAAAAGAGCCCTATAAATCCAGAGGCTCAAGTTAATTGTGGCTGTTGGGGGGGGCTTAGTTCACCTTTCCCCACTACCTTTGGGAAGCTCAGCTCCTTCACTTCTCCCTATCTGGCACATTTGGAACATCTAGACCTTTGCGCACTTCCCGATTTCTCTCAGCCTCCGACCTCAAGGCATCTAAATGTTTACACGCTCTACTCAACCCACTGTCGAACCCTTATGAACTGTGCCAAACGATCCGGTCACTCGCAGATTCCCCACAACTCGACCAACCTCCGCATATCTATGGTGCGACAGGCACGGCTGACTCGAGATGGCCGCCTTTGTGCGCGTATCAGGCCCAGCGAATGGCAATTTTCTGATCGGATACCCTGGGATTTCTGCGACCATGGTAAGCGCTCTGCGATACATGCGACAAGCCGATCTGGCCCCCTGCTCAACGCGGCCCCATTGACTGACCATCCCAGCCACGAATTGAGGGTAAAGTTGAAATCAGACCATGCCTCGGTATTACAGCTCCAGTCAATGTCTCGCTCGTCACTATTTCCCTCGTCCGTCGCGAGACAATTCACCCTTCGGCCGACTCCCTCACAAAGAAGCGCCTGGCTCCGCCGCGAAAAGAGATCACCGACCTGGTCGGCAAGGAGATGCTCCTTTTTCGATGTCCGGCCGGTCGAGAATATGAAGAAGTAATATCGATGGATCTGCCCTTCGTCCTCTTCATTCCATTCGGTCGTGGGGGCCGCGATGCCTCTCGCCGCGTCCCCCCAGCTAGTGTACAGCTCCCGAGTCGCACCGCTGAAACATACTACGAGATGGTGGTGACGGTCCAACAAGGGCAGCAACAACAGCACAAATATACCTTCCCTGTCCCCATCGCGCGTTACGACACACTCTCCACATTCGGCATGTACAATCGTCCAGAGTCGGCGGAGCGCGTGTCAGATCATCTGGTCACATTAGCCATCTCACTACCACGGTGGTCTTACGGTCCTCTCGACCCCGTCAGTGTTTATGTCAAATTGTCACCGAACGAGAGCTGGATGGGCAAGGCGCGCAAAGTGACCATCAGCAAGATCACCATCGGCATCGACGAGGAAATCGTCTACAACCACGAAGGCGATGAGCCCCAGCGCAAAGTCAAAGTTCTAGCCAAAAAAACGGAGAATATCGGCGTTAAACTACCCCAATCGGGCTATTTAACAAACCTGGGGCTGGTATTCCCCGCCAAGGACCTCCGCGACGCAGAAGGTATCTTGCCGAGAAGTAGGACGGCATTTCCTACGTACGGTGTGAGCGGCTTCACAACCACAGCAAGTCTATATAAAATCGAGTACTACCTCACAGTTCGAGTTCGTTCTTCCCTAGCTTCATAGTTTATCTTCTCCAAACTCACACACAGCAGGCCCACTTAACCTCCGCAAGAGACATTACCATTCGACAACCAATCGTGGTCTGCCCTCTCGACCACGCTGGCTGCAAAGAAGAAATGGAGGCGATTGAGCAGGCCGCACGAGATGCTGCCCATGTCAACCCGGACAACCCTATGCTACCTCTTCCGGTAATTGTACGGCCAAGCGACCACAACGCCCTCAGCCATATAGGCGCCGCTATTGTCGGCAACCAGAAGAAACCGTTGATCGACTGATAGGGGGGGGTGATCCAACCTCTTCACGGTGACAATGATGAACTTATTTAATAAATCCCCGTCTTGATACTGGAGCTCAATCCCACAAACGGGGACGGCTGCCGTTACTTTTGATGCCCCGGCGGGTGCGGAGGTTGGAGGCTCTCCTCCGCAACCACGCTATCTCATGACATGTCTTACGATTGCATATATTTTGGAGTTGGTTGCATGGCATTCCTGGAAGGGCGGCTGTTTATTTGTCTCTGGACAGAACGGGGATGGGGTGTTTTGGGCTACCTGTTTAAAGATCTGGGGGAGTCGAGTGTTGCCCTGACCTTTGACTTCTGACCGGTGTCTTCCCACTGCATACGTGTATTTGGTCCTGCTTGGATATTTGGTGATTATGTCCGCACATTGGTTCAGCCATGCATATACCCAATGGTGATACAACTTGTATCCATATGTACCGATCTGTGGATTTAAGAATCCGAAATCATCTATCCTCGTGCCTATGCATATTATCGTTTGGAATGTAACCCCTTCAACCATGCCCAATGAAATATATCGTTTGAATATAATCAGCAGGTCAAATGACAAGTGTATTCCACCCCCTTTGTGACGGACGTACCTCTTGCATTAGACGGACCGTAGGGGTTCCTTTTTGTGATCTTATATATACATGCTTTTATCACTTCTCTTTTCGACCCGAGGTCTTTTCACTCGCTCACTATCTTCGTGTTTATTATATTACATATGTATAGTTGCAGCAGCTTATTTCCCGATTTCTAAAAATCCCATGGCAATGCTTAGCATGTCTGTGTCAACCACCTGGGCTTTGCTTTGCTTTTGGCTTTCCTTCTCAATATCCCGGAGACATTCCTTCAACATCTCAAGTATGGTTTGGTATTGCCTTGAGGAGGATCCAAAGGTCTTAAGGGCATTCTCCAGGCTGTTTGATATCTATCTTTTGGTTATTTTCTGCATTTGGGGGTTGTATTGTGTGATATATACCTTGCGTAGAGTTTCATTATAATCCACGATATTTTGGTTTCTTTCATCCATATGATAGTATCCAGTAACAAATATACTTGGTGTTTTGAAAATCGGTGATTCAGTTGAATATATCAGGGGCACCTATATCATGGATCCAACGATATATATTTGATTGACCGCTCTCGTCACCGCCTAGTTCCATCTATACAACAATCTCAACATCTCTTACAGAGTACATTTATACATATACCGGATGTAAGGTCGCGCGACTTGGCTTTCCTCCGCTTTCTCATGCCCTGCCATTGTTTGAGTCAAGCTGAGTATTCAGTGTGTGGATTGTTTAGATAAGATTTATATGGTGCCTGTGTTATCATTCTAGAAACTCAGGAGCTACCTAGGTAGGTAGAGTTCCGCACTAAAAGAGAAAGTTTAGAGATCCATGGATACTTTAAATGAGCTTAAACACAAGTCCTCACCCCTTCTGTGACTCATGAATACGTGTCTACTAGAACTATATATTATCGATTATACTACAGTGATTGAGAGCCTCGCTGAATATGTACTCTAGACTGGACAAAGGCTTGTTTTTGTGCATTCCGGCGCTTGCTGGGCGACTACCCTAGGTATGATGAATCGCTGATTAATGAGATAGCGTGGCCCTAATTGTTTTGAGAATTCAAACGCAGCCACGATTGCTGTTTTATTGCAAATTGAGGACAACGTTATAGTCGGATGATTTCATTAATTCTGACCCCTCAGCGAAGTTGCATAATTATTCACAAACCCACTTTGGCAGGGAAGTTCTGCAAAGCCTTTGGGGAAGCCTCTCGTTCATCCAATCTCTTCCAGTATGCGAGGAAGTTCTCTCGTCCAGGCAACAACAATCATTCGCATACTTTCATCAACTTCATTTTCATCAAGCCGTACAAGTGAGCATCAGCTGCGGAGAACCTGTCTCCGCATAGCCAGGTCCTTCCCTCCAGTTGGTCATCCAGCATGTTCAAAGCTTGAAGGAGCTGCCGGAAGCGGAGTGAATGCAAATTAATTCCACAATTCCCAATTAAGAAACAGGCCACAAGCAAGATACGCATGTTGTAGGACTATATGGAGTATTTCATTTCCCAATATGAATGAATATGGTAATTTAGAATCTATGGTTTCCTTTGTGCCAACACCCAACTTGGCGCAGTGCCCTAAATAAGACCAGTTAATGGATCAAAGTGTGACAGAGAATGTATACTCAAAAAGTTCAGCCCATTCTTTCTTCAGCGAAGTAGAGAAAAAAACAAGCGGTTGATTTGGTGGGAATCGGGGAGTACATAGTAAATGGACTTAGGACTTGGACTCGGAGTTAGGGAAAAACATCCAACGCCAAGATCGAATTAATCTACCTCAATCCAGATTGGAATCTGACGGTTCCCCGGGAGTAACTAGAGAGTGTGTTTATAGCATAAATGTTCATAAAACCCTTCAACACAAATTACATCGAGTCTGCCTTTTCTCGAATACGCCATGGCTTTTATCACCCGATTTCGTTTATTTACAGTCGCTTTGGGTGGGGGTGCGGTTTACTTACAATGTCTACTATATCCTTGTCGAAATATGGAGTTTACTTGGCAGGCAACTCCTGGCCATTCCAAGTCCTTCCCCTTAAGCGAGCTGAACCCCAAGAATTATCCGATAGATCAGGAAAGCTACAGCCTTCGTATCCCGGCGAAGAACCTTCCACACGGGATTACCGATGAGGAAGTTCTAGCCAGATTCTCCAAGGGCGTTTTCGGGGGCGGATATTCGCTCCTGAGAGGTGGATGGCACCGTTTGCGCAATACTTGATTGACAGTGAAGGTGAGCAATCTGTATTCTGATCATGACTTTGTTCATATACTGACTCAAATGCTGGGGTTGAATATAGTCACTTCGAGCAGTGATCCGGCTCTACCAGGGCATTCTATCTGGAAGTTGGAGTCGCTCTCCAGGAACACTCTTCCGCCATTAGGGAGTACCCTGTTCGGCCTTCTTACTTTATTCGATACCAGCGCTTGCACTGAAGCTCATCGCATATCCGTATTCCCAGAATCACAAGATATCCCTCGACCCAACTTCGCCTTTGCAGAATACGCCGGACGTACAAAGTCCCTCAGCCTTGCTGCGTCACATCGTTTCGAGGTCAACCGGGAGCTCAAAGGCAGCGAGGATGTGATTCAGCTTACTTTCTCCCATGTAAGAAGCAATCCTGCAAACGGTGGAAAACCTCTGCCGGGTTGGTTTATTTGGTTCCATGTCTTGTACTCTAAGCTACTCTTTGCCGACGGGATCAGAGAGCTTCTGCGAAATTAAAAGCGTGAAATCACTAAATCCTGCTCCGTAGACTAGTGACATCGAAATAAACCTTGAAGCTAAGAGCTTTCCCTGTCAAGCCTGACCTCATAAGGGCAAGCAGGTGTAGGAAATTGCTGATTGCCACGAAACGACAGGGAGCTGAGACACTTCGCTTGGAAAATCCGCATCGGCGTAAAATCCGGTACATACAGCTAAATCTATATACTATACTGACAGCTAATAGATCCCTATCTCCTCCAAAGCCCAAGGCACTTCCACACTCGCACCCCCATTCTTATCCTTAACCGGATTGGCAAATTCAACCAAAAACCTCACCATCCACCCATCCATACAGAAACTAGTATCAACCGAGCTCCTACAAGCCCGATGAAAAGCCTGTAATCGCTCCATACAAACATCAAGCGTAGGCCACAGCGCACGCAGTTTTGTCAGAATGACAAAATTCCTCTCGAGCCTTGCCCGCGCTCTCACAACGCTCTCTTCATCCCCGAAGAGCAACGTATGGATCTGCACTGTCGACGCAATGACAAGCACATGTCCGACCATGTTGTACAGAACTGCGCATCCGGGTACTTCCTCGGAGCGGTAGATCATCTCGCAGAGTCGAACGGCGTGCTCTTTGCATTGCTGGGCGTAGAAATGCGTACGTGGTGTATACCCTCGGATGTCTTCATGGAGGAAGCGGTAGAAGAGCATTTGGCCATAGTTATAGTAGCCCAGATAGAGAGTTACGAAGAGGTGGCCTTCGCCTTGGGAGGCATAGGATTGGAGGTTAGAGGGTGTATCGTGCATGTGAGCGGGTAGATTCTTGAGCCAGGTGGAGAGATCTGTGGAGAGAGTCGAGATAGTTGTTGTTATATATTCTTCGGTTAAAGTTGTTGTGGCAGCCTTGGTGTTGAAGTCATTTATTTCTGAGAGAATTCGGTTTAGGAGGACCATTTGAGCTAGGAGTGATGAGGTGCGGTCGGCTGAGATTGATACTGTAAAGCCTTCGGTGCGGGTCATGGCAAGGAAGGCTGCTTCGTTCATTGGAAGGGGAACGTTTGGTTGAGGGGCCATCAATCGTGGGAGTCGAACTCCTGCTGAGGACCAGACGTCTATCATGCAAAGTGTCCACCATACTATGTTGGGTGTTAGAGTGAGAGGTATTTTCAAGTGTTTCCAAACGAACCTCTTATATTTACTTCTTTTTCGACACGACTTGCAGCATCGCAGTTCGGGAGATCAAGGAGTTGGGCAATCCGACATGCAATTGAGTAGTAGATGGTCTCCGAGGCAGGGTTTCTTCCATCTACCACAGCAACGGCGCCGAGCAACACACAAACTTGGATTGTTGTCAAAGAAACATCATTCAAGTTGAGTAATTGCTCGCATCTTTTGGCATAGACTTTTCCTCTTTCTCGGGGATCTATCCCAGCAAAGAAAGAGTGATTTGAAAATCTAACCGAGTTAGATTCAATTTCACTCGGGCCGAATAAAAGAGGCATACCGTGCCGACAATGCGAGTATCCCGTATATTAAATTCTCGGGCGCTTGACCCCGATGTATGTCCTCCATCAGACTTGGTCGATGAAAGAGAGAATGAAATTTATCATGCACATAATCAAAGTACAGCCCCACCAGTTCAGTGCAGAGTTGTTGATCTGGTAAATTGCATTTCTCGGGTAAAGACTCAGTCCCGAGAGATGTTTCTGGTATAGGAGATTCTTTCGGCTCGGAGAGGCGTTTCCGAGTACATACTAGATTCCGGGCAGAGCAATAGACACACGAGCGGCCGGGTGCCGGAATGTCACATTTTCGTCGACGTTCACTTGAGCGAATGAGTACGGGGCCTGTGGGGGAGGATGAAGTACTCACCGGCATATTGAACAGGCTTTTGCTAGTCTCATTCTTCTTGTGGAAGGTCATTTGATCTCGAGATGATGTTAATATAGACTGCGTCGGAATTGAAAAGTCCAAAGCCAATGAGCGACGTTCAAACCCGCCTACGACACGGCGCAGACACGGAGTTTCCCCGGGGTTTCCTCCGCATTTCGACTCCACAGTATAAAACCCCAGCTTAGACATATAAATGAAGTATCGCCGAAGTTTTTGTTGATCGGCAATTCACTTATAGACCAAAGACTGGTAGAAGTCTATTAGGGGGCCTATACTCTTTTTTTGGGGATCTACATCGCCAGTGCCCCTTTGGTGCAACCTCCCTACCGGGCATAAAAAGATATAAAAAGGTACGTCTTTCCCGGATTCTTGAACTTGATATAAGAACACAGCTAAAATGGTCCACTTACAAAGGAGTGTCGTGGCCACAGGTCTAAGTCTCCTTGCATATTCTTCCGCCGTCATGGCCAAGGAATCAAGCGTAAAGCGTGAGTTTGCATTCGTTCTTTTCTAATTCCGAAATCTGATCATAATATACCATATAGCAATTTTGGCAGATGGTACGTTCTTTGCTCTCAATGGAGAAAATGTTTCGTACCGCATCCATGTGGACAACACCACTGGTGATCTTCTGGGAGACCACTTCGGTGGCCCCGTCGGAGATGTTATCCCCTTGGAAACTGTAGGTGAGGTCAATGGCTGGGATAGTCACATCGGACGTGTACGCCGTGAGTTCCCAGACCAAGGCCGAGGGGATTTCCGCATTCCTGCCATTCGCATTCGTCAGTCAGCAGGGTATACTGTGTCTGAATTCCAATACAAATCGCACAAGCTTATTCCAGGCAAGCCTGCTCTGTCTGGGTTGCCAAGCACGTTTGGCACAGAAGAAGATGTTAGCACTTTGGTCATTAGTCTGTACGATAAGTACAGCGACGTGGCTGCCGACCTCTCATACTCAATTTTCCCCAAGCATGATGCCATTGTCCGCAGCGTGAATGTTACGAATCATGGAAAAGAAAATATCACAATCGAGTCTCTGGCCAGTCTGAGTGTGGATTTGCCGTTCGAAGAGTTGGACATGATCAACCTTCGTGGAGATTGGGCAAGAGAAGCGCACCGCGAGAGGAAAAGGATCACGTACGGCATCCAAAGCTTTGGAAGCTCCTCTGGCTACTCTTCTCACCAGCATAATCCTTTCCTAGCCTTGGCGGAGCCCTCCGCCACTGAGTCTCACGGAGAGGTATGGGGATTTTCGCTTGTGTACACGGGTTCATTCTCTGTGAGCGTCGAGAAAGGCTCACAGGGCTTCACACGAGCCCTTCTGGGCTTTAACCCTGGCCAACTCTCGTGGACTCTGCCACCCGGGGAGAGTCTCACCTCCCCGGAGTGTGTCTCGGTATACTCCAAGGATGGCTTAGGTGGAATGTCACGGTCCTTGCATCGCTTGTACCGCAATCATCTCATCAAGAGCAAGTTTGCCACTAGTGATCGTCCTACATTGCTGAACAGTTGGGAAGGACTGGTCTTCGATTACAACCAGAGCACCATCTATGAGCTGGCAAAGGAAGCCGCCGACGTAGGTGCCAAGCTGTTCGTTCTGGACGACGGTTGGTTCGGCAAGGAATATCCACGTCTGTCCGACACAACCGCACTGGGCGACTGGATTGCAAACCCTGACCGGTTCCCCAACGGTCTGGGGCCGCTTGTGAAGAACATCACTGACCTGAAATCCGCGAACTCTTCAACGAACATGCGCTTCGGTCTTTGGTTCGAGCCGGAAATGGTCAGTCCGAACTCGACTTTGTATAACGAGCACCCAGACTGGGCTCTGCACGCAGGACCCTACCCTCGCACCGAAAGACGCAGCCAGCTCGTGCTAAACCTCGCTCTTCCTGAAGTCCAAGACTTCATCATCAAGTCCGTCTCGGACATTCTCAAGAGTGCAGATATCACTTATGTCAAGTGGGATAATAACAGGGGCATTCATGAGATGCCTTCTCCATCCACAAACCACGCCTACATGCTCGGCATGTACCGCGTTTTTGATGAACTGACAACCCAGTTCCCCGATGTTCTCTGGGAGGGTTGTGCCTCGGGCGGCGGTCGTTTCGACCCAGGTGTTCTGCAGTACTTCCCTCAGATCTGGACTTCGGACAACACAGACGCTGTCGATCGTATCTCCATTCAACTGGGTACTTCGCTCGTCTACCCACCCAGCGCAATGGGTGCTCATCTGTCCGAAGTGCCGAACCAACAGACAGGCCGCACAGTCCCCGTAAGCTTCCGCGGACATGTGGCGATGATGGGCGGCTCGTTTGGCTTGGAACTCAATCCGGCTGATATGCCCGCTGAGGAGAAGGCGGCACTGCCCGGGCTCATTGCTCTCGCTGAGAAGGTGAACCCCATTGTCCTGACTGGTGATATGTGGCGGTTGAGCCTTCCAGAGGACTCGAATTGGCCTGCTGTTTTGTTCATCTCCGAGGATGGGCAGAAGGCTGTGTTGTTTGTCTTCCAGCTCTCCCCGAACATTGATCATTCATGGCCGCGTGTCAGATTGCAGGGATTGGATGCGCAGGCTTCCTATAAGATTGACGAGGGTATAGTTTACTCTGGTGGAACGCTGATGAATATTGGTCTGCAATTCCCCTTCAAAGGTGATTATGGCAGTCGAGTTGTGGTGTTGGAAAAGCAATAGAGAGCTGTGGTATATAGGCTAGTCGTGTTTGAGAGGCAGAGGCAGCAGCCATACTCTTTCAAATAATTACATAGGTCAACAATTAAATATAAACAGTCGAATGATGGACATTGTCCCCGGGACCGGCATATGATATTCAAGACATAGGCGAAAGCGAAGATACGACCATAACCTCAGACGTCTCCCAAATGGGTCAAACGGAGAACTGAAACGGCTCATACAAAGGTTCTGGGACTTCGAGCGGATCGGACCGAAAGCGGGTCGGGAGGTCGGGTCGGAGATGACAACGACCCAAAATGGCCCCCGGGGGGTCGTCGGGGGCCGGAGAAGGTACAAGATATACGTAGCCCCATATCTCAGGCTCTTGAGGATTGCTATACAAACTTCTATTTGCACTCGTTTGTCAGGCCTTGCTAGATCTCGTAAGCATTGTCTACTCACAATTGCTCTTGAAGTGGTCAATATAGATCTCAATACTGATACCCCGTCAAGTTCAAGTGTGATTTCCAACGTCCAATTCCGTCCGATAGCGATAGCCTGCACCTGATCAATTCCATCCAATACGAGCTAGTGTTTTCTGGTGCTTTGGGCCGAGGGTTAGCCAAGATGTCCGATATGAGCTCTCAGTTCCAGAGCAGCCCCGACGCTGAAGGATATTTTGGTCGGTTTGGCGGCAACCACTATCCCGAAGAACTTCGGTCTGCACTTTTGGAATTGGCAACCAGCTATGAGGAGCTTCGTCAATCACCGGAATTCAATGACACTCTGAACAAGGTGCGGGTGGGACTTCAAGGGCGGCCGACCCCAATACATTACCTCGAGCATGTTTCAAACCAGGTCGGAGGCGCTCAAATTTTCATCAAAAGGGAAGATTTGAACCACACAGGTGCACACAAGATCAACCACTGTGTTGGATTCGCACTACTCGCCAGACGAATGGGTAAGAAGAAACTTATTGCTGAGACGGGGGCCGGCCAGCATGGCGTCGCACTGGCAACTGCAGCTGCCTATTTTGGACTCGAATGCGAAGTCCACATGGGAGAAGTTGATGTCGGCAAACAGAGCTCGAATGTTGGTAAGATGCAGCTACTCGGCGCGCGGGTGGTGTCAGTAGCGACCGGCCAGTCTGCCCTAAAAGACGCCAGTGATTCAGCATTCAACGCGTACGTCGAACAGCACGAACACGCGCTCTATGCGATTGGCTCGGCTATCGGCCCACACCCATTCCCAATGATTGTTCGAGACTTCCAGGGTGTGGTTGGCCGAGAAGCGCGCGAGCAATTCATTTCCATGAATGGGAACCTGCCCGAGCATGTGGTTGCCTGCGTTGCCGGTGGTTCCAATGCGATGGGGATATACACGGGCTTTCTCCGTGATCCGGCCGTTGTTCTACATGCAGTGGAACCTCTTGGCACATCTAATGAGCGAGGCCAACAAGGCCAACACGCGGCAACGCTATCATATGGAAGACCGGGTACATTGCATGGTGCTCGATCGATTGTGATTCAGCAAGATGACGGTACACCTGCCAGTGTCTCGTCTGTAGCATCGGGGCTTGCATACCCTGGCGTTGGCCCGGAGATAGCGATGCTTCATGAGACCGGTCGGCTATCAATCGCAGGAGTTTCAGATAAGGAAGCTGTCAATGCATTCTTCCAGATGTCAAAATCTGAAGGTATCATTCCTGCACTAGAAAGCGCACATGCATTGGCGTTTGCGATCCGACTGGCGTCGCAGCGCCCTTCATCAGAGCGAATCCTAGTCAATCTCTCGGGGCGCGGCGACAAGGATGTAGATTACGTACTTGAGAACTACAGTGGACATGGGCAGTCAACAGTTCATAATGGCGGCATGTGAGATAACATTTCCATTATATATATGTGGCAATTACATTCAAACACTTGAGATCCTACAAACAAGAAATTCCTATATACTCCTGAGCCTCAATAGCCCTTCATGATACCGTCTCACGACATGCAAGTGACAAACACAAGCAGCCTTCGACCTCCATAGAGATATTATTCTGCCAAAAAGGCCCGCTTATCGATAAGCGCACCTTTTCTGATCCCGACTCTTGACTCCGAAATTGTCTCTAATTTATTCTCCAAATATCCAACATGGCAGATGTAGACGAGGATGTCATCAAGGCCCCTGCAAATGCCTCGACAGAAGCTGATGTCGACCTGTCCGACGAGACGCAGGATTTCCGCTTCTTGAACCACTTGAATTTGTATGAGCACGGCCTACTCTGACACTCGGGGAACCCAATCTCCAGTGTCCTGATCACCTTTTCAATTGCCACTGCTTACCTCCGAACTTTCTGCAGCTTCGCCGATGCATCCCCCAGCATCCCGCGCCGCGGCGAAAAGGACTTTGAGCCCAATCCGACAGAACTTCAAGCCGATGTGCTCTCCGCTTCGCGAGGGGCCATGCACAATGCGCTCTCATACCCCCGTCTCCACAATACCAAAACTCGTGTCATAGCTTTCTACGCACCCGACGGATATGTTCCTCCCGTTAAAGCTGATCGTGCGACATCGAAATCTGGCGAAGAAGATGGAAAGAGCTCAGAGTCTACACCGAAACCCGAGAGGCCTTTGCCCAATTCCGCCAGAATATCTCCCGACGCATGTGTCTACGTGCCCAATCCAAAGGGTCAGTTCTTTAAGACAATGGGCCAAGCAGACTCGTTAAGCCGTGTGTGGTTGTTGCCAGAGGAAGCCTTATATCTCATTGAGCGAGGAAGTATGGATATTAGATGGCCCAGCTCATCTGGGCCCCCCGCGGGACCTGGAGAAGAAGACCTCTCTATCCCTATGAGTCTGCAGGCTGCATATGCATGCTTCATGGGTCGCGGTGGTCTGACGCTTGAGCGCTACTCCGTTTATACTGGTCTCAGGCGTCTAGGTTATGCGCTCCTTCGAGCTCCTGGATGGTGCGATGATATCGAGAAACCGGATGCGGACGCCTCAAATGTTATCGAAACACCACCCAAGCTTCATGGCCCTGGCCTGGCTGGTATACTTGGGTCACTTTTTAATTGGATCCATGACCCTCGCTCAACGGCCTCTACGGCAACTGGCCCTATCATCGGTACTGGCATCCATCGTCATTACAGTAAGTCACACCATTCACTCTGCGGTCTATATCTTAGCTCTTCTTACTGACATGCTTGTTAGTGGATGTGTACCGCAAGCTCGCTATCATCCCCTGGTACGACCCAGTTACCGCACCCGAAATACATCCCGCTGATACCACGCCACCCTTCCGCGTCGTGTTCCACGTTTTCAAGCCCTCAACTCCCTTCAAAAAATCCGCGCCTCCAGCCCCAGACTTCCGTGTCGCGGTCGTCAGCACACGCGACCAAACCACCATGCCTACTATGACACAACTCGGCGCTCTGCTCGAAAGCACGCCGCTCGACCCGCCGCGCGGAGAGAAAATGGACCGTATGATGTACATGAGACTGCGACATGGATACCGCAATGTTGTCATGGCTGTCGTTGATCAGGGCGTGGTCAGTTATTTGCGAGTTGCTGATTCGGCGTTCGGGAAGGAAAAGCTTTATGAGAACAAGGGTGGACCTCAGGGCCCTAAGTGGAATCGTAATCAGAAGCCGAGAAAACGTTGAGGAACTCAGGTCATGAACTTATGCCCTGGCCTATACCAGCTCGCTGGAGCTTGTATGAAAATGTGAAAACGCCAATGGCCGAACGGGAAACTCGTGTGTGCATGAGGACAGTGCACAGACTATGGATCCGGTTCATATATCCATCTCACATTGTCTCTGCTCGGTGGTGGATCACGCCGAAAGCTGGAAATGCTCTCCGCGGTTGTTGGAACTCTTGCAAAGATCTCCTACATTCGTCACCGTATTTCAACGGATACACCCGTCTCGTTTGGGCCTGGTCTGGCTGCAGACATTGGAGCAAAGACCTACATACCCCATACTACGACATGAAAATGTTTCAGTATTCCTCCTAAAAGAACGACCCAGGCTCACCATTTTGTACATATATTTGAGCCATCTAAGCATCAAGTACATAGTTGGGTACTACTCATTGAGATCTAGAAACCAGAATATCGCTGAATCATAAATCATAGAATCGCGCTGAGTAACATTTCCGAGAATTTGACAAGTACCTGGAGACTTGCGTAATGCATTGCAGTCATCCAGCACGTCGATAACACACCCATTCTCCACTTAGAGCCGATACATCTCGCTCTTACTCCGAGCCCCATCAAAGACACAAGTATTATCAAGCGGGCCATACTGCCTCGTAATAACCTTCAGTGCCTCTTGCGCGACCAAGCCGCCGGTCAACGAAGAGATATTATGCAACTCGCCGCCCTCCGCCCGACGCAGTTCTTTAATCGCACTGGCAATCTGCGTGCGCGCCTCTTGAGAGACAGCTGATCCATCCGCCGCAGTTAGCAGAGCCAAGATGCGTTCCGTATGACTATTCCACAGCGCGTCATCGTCAACAGAGCGTTCCTCTTCACGGCTGCTCGACTGAATCTCGTCCACGACCGAGTCCAGGACCTGCATCGCAATGAATATGGGGATCAGGGTGTCCGGGTCACTTAGCGCGTTGCGGACGGTCTTCAGTGTTGATGCGTCGCTATCGATGCTTATCTGCGGGATGTCGCGGCCGAGCACGACTTTGATGTGTGCGGCGTTCTTGCAGAATACTTCGATTTCTCGGTCTGGGATTGCGGGGGCTTGGCGATTGAGTTGGGATTCGAGCTGGCGTACTGTTGCTGTCACTTCTTCGATATCTTGTCGCGCTTTCGCCTTGTAGATATTCTGTAGTGACACGTAGTCTGCTGACTGGGCTTTCATGTCTGGTAGGGAGCCTGGGAGGGGGAGGACGCCGTGAGATGCGTGGAAGGTTTTGATGGCTGAGGCTATAAACCAGAAATCTTGGGATGTTGCGGACAGCTGTTGACACTCCTTCATCTCGAAGATCTCGCGGATCGTGCTGCGTAGGCTGAATGGTGAGACTGTCTTCAGTACAGCAGCTACTGCTTCATCGAAATTCTCTTCCCCGCCCTCTGGGTTAGAGGTGCGTGTCTGAGACCGCACAAACTCCCTAAACTCGGTTTTCTCTTTGTAGTTACTTGGTGTGTTGCCTTCGTGAGACTGTTTCCATTGCTCTAGGAAGTGAAGCAGGAGCAGTATATAGGGCACATGGCCATGTTGATGGTCATCCAGGGTATCCAGATTGTCCAACTTGGCCGCTGCGGCGACAAGCTCAGGCCAGGGATTAAGCAGACGGAGGTCCTGGGTTGATTCCGGGTCCGGATGTGTCTCAACAATGGGGAATTCAGCCGGCAATTGCACGGAGAAAACGGAGAAAAATCCGACCGAGTGCAGGTACAGTAGTGGAATACCCAGTTGCTTTGCTTCCTGAATCAGAGGTACCAATGTCGAGCGTCTCATTGGACCCGAAATAATCACCAGTTTGTACTGGGGTAAGAATTCAGGATCTTTGAGAAGCTCCCCAACGCGCTGGTTTTGAAGTCAGTCAACGCAATCATCTACTCCTGGAGACATGGAAAATCATACCTTGAGATAGTAATGTCCTTGCACATCTGGATTTAATTCTTTCAGCAGTCGGCAGGTTTCCTCGGCACGGGACTTGCCCAGTGACTCTTCCTCCAGGAAGAAGTTCACGCCTAGATCGGACTCGGTAACTATTGCTGGGTCGACGATAGTGAAACCACCAATTCCTGGCAGTACAAGATTCTTGAGGGTTTCAACGCCTGCAACGCCGGAGACGCCGGTGTTGTATTGGCCAAGAGGCCCATCAGAATTCACTAAGAGAACATGAGAATCCTCGAGTGCTTGCTGGCCAGTTGCTGCCCAGAGCCGGAGCTGGCGATCATATTTGCGCTCCTTGGAGGTTGGCCCTGTCAGGGCGGCGGGGAAGGCATCCGTCATGGTGGATATCAGGCAGAGTGGAAAGAGATGGAGCTTTGTTTTGGGTTTTAATCATTGCCTGCTTATCTTTATGTGATACTACTCGTGTTGCTCACAGTATTTGCTTCTCACTTTGCAAGTTCCTCAAGTCATGAAGTCGTGGATGTTAACTTGTTGATGCGCGACTGTTTTTAGTAAGCGCACATTATGGCCTGATAATCCAGGCAAACATCCGTAGACAAGCCTTCTTTAGGGATGTTGATGTTCTACATGTAATTCGCCAGGCAATATGATGATTTTAACTTGCTAGTTTCGATGTTTTTGATGCCCTCATAATGGGCTTCCTCTCCCGCAATACGCCAAACTATACGCTAAAATACCACCACGTCTTTTTTCCTATAGTGACCAGATCACGGTCTCCCCTGACCGAGTGTGACTTTAATCTTAGAAATCGAATTCGACCTAAGCTTGATGCTTCAAGGGCGCATCTTAGCGGGTTTCTATTTGCACCTATTTTCCAGAAGATTACAGGCTCGGTGCATTGTAATTTGATCGTCAGCGCTGTTGCGTGCACCTTTCGCCGAGAAATAAGGCCATTCCAGCCGTATGAACTCTGGACCAAGGTTGCGAGCTGGAATGCTAACATGGCCATGCATTTTGTCGACAGAAGCAAGTTCTCAGGACGCTCTGTGATGCAGGTCGTTACATCGAGCGATAAAGAGAAGACGACAAATCAAGTGACCCCAGAAGGAGAGCCACAAAAACATGCGTTTGCTTCTGCCATAACTCGGGTGATGTTCAAAACAGGTCGTTTGACAATACCTCCTGAGAATGCCTTGGATATCTGCGGTTTCTTGTCGATTACGACGATTAAATCTTTCGCCGAAGCTTCCGGTTGGTGAGGATCAATGTACGATAGAAAGACTGTAAAATATATATTTGCTATGCGTAGATGGAGGTACGCTTGAACTTCGCCTACATGTGCCCATACTGCTTATTCTAGTGCTTTGAGAGTATTCAGGTGATGCTCTCTTCTCATGTATAACTTGCTAACCGATCTTGTGTAAGATCGAAATCAGCCTTGGAAAAAAAGAAGCACGCTGCTTTTACTGATGAACAATTAACAGTGTTTGCTTCTCACTCTGCAGGTTCCTCAAAAGATGAAGTGGTGCGGCCGTTTTCAGTGAGCATATATGATGGCCTGCCCAGGTGGTAATCTAGGCTGATATAAGCCTTCAAAGATCTCTAAGCATAGGGTTCGGTATTCTACATGTAGTTCGCTAAGCAATAATGTGTTCTCATTTTCGGATTACAGATTAATTGGTAGTTTTGGAGTTTTCGAGATTCTAATGGCAACAAGAGCGAGTTCTTTGACAATCCTAGTAAAAAGGCTGTCGCGACTTTATACCATGGCCCAGGCCGATGACTATTTCTTTGTTTAAAATTACTCGTAAGATCTGCAGTCACCTGGGTACTGAGCATTGAACTTATTTCGTCTTGTTCAACTCTTATGGCAATGATAGAGATTGAGGCTGAGAAATTGCTCTAACAGCACATGCTTTATATGTACAACACATGGAGGCACTCGAAACGAGATATCAACATGATTCTTTTGCGCAAGGACAATAGTAAGGCACACTACATTGTACATTGATAGATATCTCAAAGGCAGAGATGAAAGAACTCCTCGGCCAAGACTTTATAGTACCTAGTCCCTAGAATATTTATAACATTCCTTGCCCCAATTTCACCATGTATCAATTTTCCTCATCCCTATATCAATTAAGCTATTTCCCCGAACCAAATCCTCCAAGATGAAATTGGCCATTGTTGTCCTCGCCTTTGCTAGGCTTGCACATGCCCTAGAAAAGGAGCTTCCTGGCTGTGCCCTTCCCTGCTTGGACACAATAATGAAGGGAACTAGCTGCATAGAGAATGACTGGGATTGTATCTGCTTGGCCCAAGATGTGATTCAACAGGCTGGCGCAAACTGCGTGGAAGAGAAATGTGGCGCAAGTTTTGTTCAGAGTACGGTGATTGAATATAAGAGAACGCTCAAGCTAATGGATTATATAGAGGTGTTTTTGCCTGCCGTTAAGGAGATTTGCCAAGCTTAGTCCCTGTCTATGTGGACTGAATGGAAACCTCCAAAGTTCTTCTCGGAGGAAATGCGATGGTGGCAGAGACAGCTATGCTATTGACAAATGGTTTCAGACATTTAATTCCTCTATTTTTATCATCTAAGAATAAAATGTCAATCAATTATGCAACCTTGGTCTTCGATTGTATATATACAACAGTAGGGTATTTAATATGCCATACGGATATCTGATCATGTTTACTGCAATCTGAGCATAATAATAGGATTTGGACATATTCATGTCTTGAATATTTCATGATGTAAAAGAACCCTGAACGTGGATTTATAGAACAGAAATGGCTGAAAGGCCGCATAACGTGACGCCATTGACTTGTAGGATCTCCATAGATTTCTATTTTGCCCCGCGAAACTTCCAAGACGATTCCCATGATCCAATCCGCCTTCTCCCTTTTCTGCCGTAGACTTACTCTCCCCACCATCCCCGCAGTCTTTCGCACTCCCAGATTCCACACCATGTCCGCCGTCGAAGAATCCAAGCGCGCCGCCGCCAAGGTCGCTGTCGGAAACCACTACCCTAAGGATGCCCGCTGGGTTGGTATCGGTAGTGGTACGACGATTGTGTACGTCGTCGAGGCCATCAAAGCCCTCGGTGTCGACACCTCGAACACAAAGTACGTTCCGACCGGCTACCAATCCAAGCAGCTGATTATCAGCGCCGGATTGGCTGCTGCCGAGTACGATTCCGTTCCGCTGGGCACTGTCCTCGACGTCGCGTTCGATGGTGCGGACGAGGTTGACGAGGATCTGAACTGCATCAAGGGCGGCGGTGCATGCTTATTCCAGGAGAAGATCGTCGCTCTGCAAGCGAAGGAGTTTATCTGCGTTGCCGGTGAGTTGCGATCCGATATAATATGATCCTCATTCTGCATTGTAGTTATGGGGTTTGCGTTAGGTGATGACTCGGAAGTAGAGCCGACTATAATTTTCTTCGTCTTTTTCGGAATTGTTTGCTATTTCAATACTATTTCTCAACTAACTCACGCTCGCAATCGCAGACTACCGCAAACTCCAGCCCCGTCTCCTCACAAACTGGAAAGCAATTCCCATCGAGGTCGCCCCGATCGCCGCCCACCGCGTTCTCCTCAAGCTGAGGGAACTCGGCAGTATCAACCCCACCATCCGGGCGTCCGCCAGCTCCAAGGAAGGTCCCCTCAAGACCGATCAGGGCTTCTTCATTGTCGATGCTCCCTTCAAGCCCATGCTGATCAAGGCTGATATCGAAGCTGGCCATGATGGTAGCGGCAAGGATGGTGTCTGGGCAGTTAACGTGTTGGCTGACAAGATCAAGGAGATCACCGGTGTGCTTGAGGTCGGTATTTTCCACGGCCAGACCGGCCCGCAGGCTACTGCTGCCGGTGGCATTGGTGGTCAACGACCTGTCGCGGCCTACTTCGGTATGGCTGATGGGACAGTCGCTGTTCGCAAGGCTCAGTAGATGTGTAGTGATTGGACATTTGGAGTGACAACTAGGAGACTACGTAAATAACTTAGATACAAAGATTTCGCTTCGTTGTTAAATCTTGGAAAATATGCTATAATTGGAATTGAATTGGGGAATGCGATTGTGTTTTGAATTGTTTTTCTAAATTAGATTTCATGTGTGGTATCAACATTGGACAGACGCTTCATTTCGGTATAGAATCAAGGGAAATACCTATTTTGCGCCCTTGCCCTTGGCCTCCGTCTCGCCCAACTCCCGTACGTAAATCTTCACTGAGCCTTCGGGAACCTCGTCGTGGCCGTCTTCGAATCCAGGGCTGACTGCAATGGCCAGGTGCTGGCCGCTCGCACTGAATGCGACAGACGAGACGCTGTTTTGATATTTCTGATATTGACGGATACGGCGTTTAGAGATTCCATCCCAGAGAGCAACAACACCGTCACCGCCGCCGGATGCAAAGGTGCCAAAAACTGGGTGGAAAGCCAATGCGTTGACAGGGTAGACGACATCCACGCCATCCTCGGCAGTCTGGCGGTGACACTTGAAAGCGTATTTGCGGGCCTGAGATTCAGGCGACGGGTCGAACCACTCCACCGCAACTCGACCCTCGATGCTAGATGAGGCATACCCAGCGTCATCAGGCATGCAAGCAACCGCGCGGGTCATGAACTTCAAGCTGCTTTCACGGCGTTGCCAGGGCTCAACTTCCACTCGATTAGCGCCTGGGGTTGTGCCGTCTGCTTGTGCGGTGAGGAGAGCCAACGCTTTGAGGTCGTAGATGTGCAATGCGCGCGATGCCATCGCGACGACCAGCTTCGTGGCGGTTGCGGAGATGGAGAATGGCTTCGACGGAAGGGGAACGATAATCGGAAGGGAGTCGGGGTTTGCGCCAGCATCGGGTAGGTGGATGTGCAGTGTTGAATCCCACGAAGCGGAGATGACGATTTTGTGCTCGCGGCTGTACAGGACATGGCGCACACCAGCTTCGTGGCTGCTGAGCACGGTCTGTTCAGAGGTATTGAGGTCGATCCTAATCAGTAATTAGTACAGCCCATAGACCACGTTTGCTGATAGTAGTAGCAGGACCCAATGCGAATAACTCACTTCCTCACGTCCCAATCCAGTCCAGCTGTGTATATCTCGTTCTCGTTCTCACCAAAGCAGACGTCCAGTACAGGGGCACGGTGCTCGAACTTCTGCAATAGCTTCCCCTCTCCAATCTTTCCGTTCTCATCCCGCAAGTCATACAGGTATACGTTCTTATCCCATGACGAAACGGCGATCCGCGCGGAATTTGGGTCTGGGGAGAACTTCAAGGCCGAAATAGCATCCGTAGGTGGGGATGCCACAATGAATTGATCTGCAACAAAAATTAGACATGGTTCAACTCTGACGGAGTATAATAACAAAATAAGTACTCACGAGAAGTCATATTGGGCAAGCTGCAGAGTTGTAGAAGATCAAGCCCCAAGCTCCCCGGGGCCTTTGGCCGTGTCCTTTTCTGCCATCGTCACCGCCCTCTGATTCCCCGCGCTACATCGATAAGGAAAAAAAGACCAAACGCCTTGACATCATTTGTCTTCGGCAAGAACAAAACTCCTCACATCTTTGTGACATTGACAAGATGCCATTTGCCCAGCTGGTGATTGGTCCGCCAGGCGCTGGCAAGTCCACCTACTGCAATGGCATGCATCAATTCCTGGGCGCAATCGGCCGGAAATGCTCTGTCGTTAACCTTGACCCCGCCAACGACAAGACCTCTTACCCATGCGCGCTGGACGTACGTGATCTAGTTACTCTAGAAGATATCATGGAAGAGGACAAGTTGGGTCCGAATGGTGGTGTCTTATATGCTCTCGAAGAGCTCGAAAACAACTTCGAATGGCTGGAGAACGGGCTGAAGGAGCTTGGCGGTATGTCTGATTTGCCCTGGCCAAATACTTCTACTAATTGGTTTGTTGAATTCTTAGATGATTATATTCTTTTTGACTGTCCCGGTCAAGTCGAGCTATTTACACACCACTCCTCATTACGCAACATCTTCTACAAAATCCAGAAGATGGGCATTCGGGTTAGTCGCAGCAAAATTTCAAGCGCAACACAAAGGAGACCTAACTAACCAGGTTCTGTACACAACAGTTGATCGTCATTCATCTCATCGACTCTTATACTCTCACCCTCCCTTCAATGTACATCTCCGCCCTCCTCCTCTCCCTCCGCGCCATGCTCCAACTCGACCTCCCGCACCTAAACGTCCTCACCAAAATCGACAACCTCTCTAACTACGCCCCACTTCCTTTTAACTTAGACTTCTACACTGAAGTGCAAGACCTCTCATATCTACTACCCGAGCTGGAAAGCGAGTCCTCGCGATTCTCGCACGAGAAATTCGGCAAGCTGAACCAGACCATCATCGACCTGGTCGAGGAATTCGGACTCGTTTCCTTCGAGACGCTGGCCGTCGAGGACAAAAAGAGTATGATGAGTCTTTTGCACACCATCGACCGTGCGTCCGGGTATGCTTTCGGTCCTGCCGAGGGTGCCAATGATACTGTCTGGCAAGTGGCTGTTCGGGAGGGCATGGGTGTCACAGACGTGCGGGATGTGCAGGAGCGTTGGCTGGATGCTAAAGATGCATACGATGAGCAGGAAGATAAAGATTTGGAGGAGGAAGTTCGCTTGCGCAATGCGGCGAGTCAGGTTGAGAAGACGGGTGCGGCGGATGGCGGAGACGATGAGGATGACTATGACAAGGATGACGGACATGACTTTGACGAGGAACTGGAGAAGTGGAAGAAGGATATGCCAGACAATGGCGTGCGGGTGCGCCGCAAGTAATTCCATTCCAACGACTTCCCAGCCATGCCAAACGTCAAATATAATACGATAAATGTACGATAGCCAAAAACAACCATGAATAACCTAACGCACCAAAAACTGGGGTATCTCATTAAAAGTGAAAGAAAGCGTACAATACAACACCTACCCACCAAATCCTCATCTTCATCCAACTTCAATCATCCCCAACCATCCCCTCATCCTCACTCTCATCCATAACACATTCAACAACACTAGACCCCCCACCAACCAGATCCCCAAGAACCCCCTCTCCTCCGCATCCTTGACCCTAACAATCTCCTTCCTAGCCCTCCGAATGGCCTCCTCCTCAGCCTTTCGCATCGTCCCCGAAACTCGAACCACGCGGAAAACACACCCACGTTCACGTCCCGTCCCCGCGCGTTTCGGTCCATTCGCCGGCTCCGGCACGCCAGACATATACGTAAGCGCTGACCAGACGAGACGGAAGGAGGCGCGTGGACAACGCACTATTGCGGTGGATGTTGCTGGTGAGAGGTATTTTACTATAGTTTGTTTAGTAGGTTGTTTTTTTGGAGTTGGATGGAGTGGTTTGATGTGGTAAAAATGAGAACTCACTCGTTATTCCGCCAGCGGAGGCACCGCCTAGCTTGCCGACCCCCCAGTCGCCGTATAGCTCTGCTACGGACTCGCGGATCATCTTGGCGAGGAAGCCTTGGGTCAGGGCGTCGGAGGTTGGAGAGTGGATTGCTAGTTGGGGGTTGTGTGGTTTTGTTGTTGGGGCTGTAGGCCAGGTTTTTGGATCTGGGTAGAGGATGTCCACGAGGAGGTAGCGGTTTTTGAGGCGGACCATGGTGGTTTCGAGTTGAGACTGAGACTGAGAGGCGGCGAGGCCTTGAAAGCAGTATGGAAAGGGTGCGTACGGCTCTTGTGGATTCCACGAGAGCTAGGTGTAGACGTAGTTTGCTGGGTACAGAATGTAAGGTGGGTGAATCTTGAAGCTTGAGTTGGGGCTAGAAAAGATTGCGATCGATAAGCGATAAGGATATTTCCTAATCGGGCGGCCTATCTGGACAAGACCCTCGGGACGACCACAGCCACAGCATGGCTCGACGCTGAATATTTCCCGAGGTCAACTATCACGTATACTACAGACTACACTGAAAGCAGATCATGCGGCAAAGGCACATTCATTATTTCCCAAAGAGGTCTAGTCATCTACTGCAAAACGAATTAAATCAGATCTGTAGCCGGGTTGCACCCTTCTTGAGTGTCAACCCGTCAACTTGGTCATGCCACATGAACGCAGTACATCGATACACATGACTGCTCAGAAAACATAAAAAAAGAAAAACCAAGGGATGAACCATCCGAACTCCACCGCCCTGAACGGACGGACTATATGCCAGCGGACGGCGCTGCAAAACGTCATAAACAAAATCAGAGGTTGACCTCGACACGGCCCTCGGCACCACCCTTCTGCAGGGTGGGGAGGAGGTAGGTGATATCATCCCAGGGGTGGCGGTAGAGACCGGTGCGCAGGCGCTTCTGGTCGAGGTAGTGGGCAATGAGACCGATGGAGCGGCCGAGCACGAACAGACCGTTGAGGACACCCATGCGCATGTAGTCCTCGCACTCCTCGGGGGAGAAGGCACCGCAGTTGCGGAGCAGGTCGACAAAGCAGACAGCGACACAGCCGTCGACGTTGAGGATCAAGTTGTCCTTCTTGGAGGTGGTGACGGTCTCAACGGCGATAGCATAGTCGAGCAGCTTGGTGCTGGGGAAGTGCTTCTTGACGAACTCCTTGACAAGCTCGACACGGAGATCGGGGTTGTTGCGAGACTTGACCTTGTGGCCAATACCGGGGATAAGCTTGTTCTCCTTGCGCATGCTGTCGACGAAGTCACGAGGGCTCAGACCCTTGTCGAAGGCCTTGGTGAACTCTTCAGCGGCGCCATCCAGGGCACCACCGAAACGCGAACCGATGGTCAACAGACCGGAGACGAGAGCACTGATGAGATCCTTGCCAGCACGGGTGGTGATGATGGTGTTCATGGCACCGGAGACGGCGGGACCGTGATCGGCAGTCAGCATGAGAACCATCTCGAGGAACTTGCTGGCGTAGGGAGGCAGGCGGCGACGGAACCACAGAAGAGACATGACACCACCAATGCCAA